AAACCTGCACAGTTAGCAAATGCAGGGTTATAAGCTCCTTCAAAAGTATGTTTCTAATTAATGAGGGTATTAGAGGCTATTGGGAGGAAGATACCTTGGGGTCTAAGACTTGCTAGTGAGGCAGGTATGAGATACTGGTGTGGAAAATGGACAAATGTCAGACAGGACATTCAGTAACAGGTGTTAAGAACTTTCTAGAGAAAAGCTAGGAGACAACAAGAAAGAGCCCTTCTCTGTATTGACTCCCACTCGATAAAGAAAATGGTGTTAAGAGGTCCTGAAAGAAGAGAAACAGCCTGACAGGAATTTGAACTTTTAATTTGATCCAATATCTGCCCAAAGGAAAATTTGAAGCTTAGGAAATGTGAGGTTTGTTTTGATGAATCTCATCCCCTTCCCAATTCTGCCATTAGTGGGAGTGCAGGCTCCAGAGCAAGGCGAGGTAATTACTATAAATGCAGTCAGAGTTCTTTTTTTATATATATTTTTATTGATTTCAGAGAGTAAAGGAGAGAGAGAAACATCAGTGATGAAAGAGATTCAGTGATCGGCTGCCTCCTGTGCACCTTATATTGGGAATTGAGCCCGCAATCGGGGCATGTGCCCTTGATTGGAATCGAACCTAAACCCTTAAGTCCCAGGCTGATGCTCTATCCACTGAGCAAAATCAGATGGGGCTACAGTCACTTTTGTCCATCTGAATGAGTGCTTACATTTCCACATAACCCCCTTCCTCCACATGTTACTTGTCAGGAAGGTAAAATGGATAAATGGCATACAAAATCTTTATGAAGAAAATTAGACAAGTGTTTAGTAAGTGGGTAGATACAACATATTACTGAATGGGACTATTTGAATGTTGAAATTATCAACTATAAATTTAATGTATTTTAAAATTCTAACATATCCATCAACAAGAGGGGAGTTCATAAATTTTTAGAAACATTACAACTTACCAAGACTTAATCATAAAGGAACAGAAAATCTGATCAGACCAATTTTTAGTAAGAAGATTGAATCAATAATCAAAAACCTCTCATCAGCCCTGCTGGAGTGGTTCAGTAGTTGAGTGTCGACCCATGGACCAGGAGGTCCCCAGTTTGATTCCCAGTTAAGGCACATGCCTGTGTTGCTGGCTCAATCTCCAGGAGGCAGCCAATCAATGATAATTCATCATTGATGTTTCCATCTCTCCCAATCCCTTCTCTCTAAAATCAATAAAAACATATTTTAAAAAAAAACAAAACCTTTCAACAAAAAAAAGTGCAGGATCAGATGGCTTAAATAGTAAATTCTACCAAACATTTAAAGAATTGATACCAATCTTTCTTAAACTCTGTAAAAATAGAAAAGAAGGAAACATTTCCAAACTCAGTTTAGTAGGCCATTATTACCCTGACAGCAAAACTAAAGGAGGTTGCCAAAAGAAAAAATTACAGGCCAACATCCCTGATAATAGATGCAAAAACCCTCAACAAATTATTAGCAAACTGAATTCAACAATACATTAAAAGGGTCATACACCATGATTAAGTGGGATTTATTCCAGGGACTCAAGAATGTTCAATGTCCACAAAACAACCAATGTGATTGATACTCCACATTAACAAAATGAAGGCTATCCTATGACTCGGAGATTTCACTTCTGGGTATACGTATGTCCAAGGAAAACTAAAACACTAATTTGAAAGAATATGTTCATTGCAATATTACTTAAAATAGCCAAGTATTGGAAGCAACTCAAATGCCCACAAATAGACAAATGGGTAAGAAAGCTGTGGTACATATATGCAATGTAATATTAGCCATTAAAAAAGTGAAATTTTACCATTTGTGACAACATGGATTTATGCTAAATGAAATAAGTCACACAGAGAACGAAAAATACTATATGATTTTACTTACATGTGGAATCTAAAGAGCAAAATTAATGAACAAATAAAATAGAAACTGACTTATAGATACAGAGGTCAAACTGATGGTTGTGCCCTAGCTGGTTTTGCTCAGTGGATAGAGCATGGCCTGTGGACTAAAGGGTCCTGGGTTCGATTTCCGGTCAAGGGCACATGCCCAGATTGCAGCCTTGATCCCCAGGGTGGGGGGTGGGGGAGCACATGCTGGAGGCACCGTTCAGTGATTCTCATCATTGATGTTTCTATCTCCCTCTTCCTCTTTGAAATCAATTAAAAAATACATATTTCTTTAAAAAATCAGCTTCATTTCAGCAAAACCTAGATTCTGATTGTTCTTTGAAGGAGTTGGGGATGGCAGGAACTTGATGTGAAAACACTTATCTGTAAAGATTCTAGTATATGTACCCCTATGTTCATTTCAGCTTTACTCACAGTGGCTGAGACATGGAAACAGTGTCCTTTGGTGGACAATTGGATACAGATATGCTACATATATTCAGTAGAATATTGCTCAGCCATTAAAAAATTTAAATATTGCCAGTTGTGATCACATGGATGGATCTTGAGAGTATTATGCCAAGTGAAAAAAGTCAGATGAAAAGGATAAGAACTACATGATTTCACTCATATGGGGGATAATATTAATACACAAAAAGCAACAAACTCATTGATAGAGACAACAGAATGATGGTTACCAGATTTGAAGCTTGATGTCAAGGCCATCTTTAAAATTCCAGTAAATGAAAATTGTTTCTATTTTAAAAAATAGGGAAAAAGTGAATGTGTGTGTGCACACCAAGAAAACACCAGGAAATAGAATGAAAGGAGATGCTATGTCCTAACATAAAGTGAAAAGTACTACACACCTATAGAAATTTAAATTGTGTGGTATTGTCACAGGAATGGATAATCAAGCAGTAGAAAGTCCCGAAATATCTATGTCTTTATAGATATTTTGTTCCTGATAAGGTAGCATTTCAAATCATGGAAGAAGATAGCCTATTCAATAACCATATTAGAAATTGATAATCCATGCCACACAATATACATAGTTAAAATTCAAGAGGAGCTAAAGATGTAAACTTAAAACGGGATAAAGAAATACAGGTTTGGCCGGGACCGGTTTGGCTCAATGGATAGAGCGTCGGCTTGGGGACTGAAAGGTCCCGAGTTCGATTCCGGTCAAGGGCATGTACCTTGGTTGCGGGCATATCCCCAGTAGGGGGTGTGCAAGAGGCAGCTGATCGATGACTCTCTCTCATCGATGTTTCTAGCTCTCTATCTCTCTCCCTTCCTCTCTGTACAAAATCAATAAAATATATTTAAAAAAAAAAAAAAAAAAAAAAAAAGAAATACAGGTTTGGCCAAAACCGGTTTGGCTCAGTGGTAGAGCGTCGGTCTGTGGACTGAAAGGTCCCAGGTTCGATTCCGGTCAGGGGCATGTACCTTGGTTGCGGGCACATCCCCAGTAGGGGGTGTGCAAGAGGCAGCTGGTCGATGTTTCTCATCGACATTTCTAGCTCTCTCTCTCTCTCTCCCTTCCTCTCTGTAAAAAATCAATAAAATATATTTTTAAAAAAAATACAGGTTTGACGTGAGGCTTAAACTATGGTACCAGGAATGTACTTTAAAAGACACCATAAACCATATTGAAGGACCGGGGGAAGTTGTTTCCTATCATGTTTTTTTGTTTGTTTCTCCTGCTCACCTGAGGACACAGGAGAGAAATGTGTGGGCTGCAGGACTGGCACAGCTCTATCATGTTTTAATATATGATATCCAAACTCTTAAGAGTTTTTATTTCAGTAATAAGTTAAAATAATAAAAATGTACAAAGGATATAAACATAAATCTCAGAAGAAAAACAAGCAGCCAATTAACAGGAAAAATAAGAAACCAATAAAGATAATATTTTCATTTTCATTTTTCTAAGTGTCAAAAATGTCAAGTTTTATAAAAAATGTTAGCAAAGCAGAGAGATTTAAGCACACTTCTGTCTGTAGAATTTAAATTTGAAGAAGCCTGCAGTGGAAGACTCTCTGTATTTCAATCAGAATTCTAAACAGGTATGCCATTGGGTCAACTTAATTCCTAAGAATCTATGTTAAAGAAATAGTCACACACACATGTGGACAAAGCTATGTAATGTATAGGTAGAAATGTATATCTATACACATTTGCAACCAATTAAAATTAAGATAGAACCAGTGTTCAATAGGCAAGAGGTTAGCTTATGTTACCTCCTTTCTACGGAATGAATGCTTAAAAGAGGTGGGTCTGTACATTCTGATGAGGGCAGAGCTCCAGCAGCTATTAAGCGAAGAGAAGAAAGAAGGCTGAGGAACAATCATAATCCTTGTGTTATGTATAATACGTTAAATTATATTACACATTTAAAATGTTACACACCTACATTCGTTTGCAACGAATATATGCAGTAACAGCTACCACCCACATGCATTGTTTTAAAATGCTAACGAATGACCCCACTTCGTTCTCGCTGCCGTCTACTTCCATTCTATTTCCATTCCGCAGGCGAAGAGGCAGGCACGGAGAAATTACGTGGATTTCTCCGGGTGAGACTTCAACCAGCTTTCAAACTCCCGGATTACCATTCGGCCACACAGAGAAGGAAAACGGGGAAGGAAGCGATGTTGAAGAGGCAGTCTGGCAGGAGAGAGAGAATTTACAGGGTTATTTTCGTATGTTTCTATATTGTTTGAATATTTAACAAAATGTTTCATCATTTACTTACATATTTTAAAGGGAGGGGAGAAAGTTTGGCAAGGGACTAGTTTTTGTTGTGTTAAGTAAACAAATTTTAAAATGCTTTGTAAGACCAAAAAATAAAAATAAAATAAAAATGTGGAGACCGTGTTTTCCTGCAGACATTTTCCAGGTTCCTCGGCTTAAACCGTGCAGACATTTGGCGTTTTGCTATCTCTTATGGCGTCTGCATTGTCCATATCGCACCGGTGAGCCACGCACGGATTGCATTATCAGAGATGACCGGTTAAATATTAAGTGTTAATAATCTCTGCTGCGGTTATAAAGGAAGGATCTCACAGCCTCCCAGCGCCCTCGGACATGGAGCTGGCCTGGCACCTCGCCCTGGTGGTTTTCCTGGGCTTTTCGTGCGGCGGGCTGGGCTGGGAGCCCGGCGGGAGCCTCATGTGGGCGGCGGGGCCGCTCCCCGAGGCCCCGGGGGGCGCGTGTCCCGGGCCGCCGCCCGCGCTCCTGCCCCAGCGGCTGGGCCGCCTCCGCGCGCGCGGCGCCACCCACTTCCAGGTGCCCGTGTCCGCGGCGCGGCTGCTGCCCGCGGGGCCCGCCGCGCCCCCCGCCGCCGGGGCGGTGCGCTGCTACCGGCGCCTGCTGGGCGCCGTGCGGGCCGCGGGGCTGCGGCCGCTGGGGGTGCTGCCCCGCGGGGCCCTCCCGGCCGCCGCCGCCGCCTTCCGCGCCCTCGGGGACCTGGTGGACACCTGGGTCACCCTCAGCGGCCTGGAGGGGGCGCTCGCGGGGCTGCCTCCCGCGCGGCTGCGGGCCCTCGCCGACGCCCACCGGAGAGCCTACGAGGTTTACCACGAACGCTACGCCCCGCCGGGTGAGTCCCCGCCCCGGCCGGCACCGCGGCCTGTGTCCCCGCTGCACCCCCCTGTCCCCCCTTCCTCCTCCACGCGGGGCTGGGCGCTCCGCCCGCTCCGCAGCCGGCTGGTCATTTCATTCAGAGCGGGGGTGGGGGAGGCTCCCCGTGGAGAGGCAGGGGCTCCCCCACACAGCGCCCGGCACTCCCTCACCGCTTTCCCATCCCTCCTCCAGTTCGGCCTTCCTGGCTGTTCCCACCCTCCAGCTTCCCACCCTCCAGCCTCCAGCCTCCAGCCTCCCAGCCTCCACCCTCCCAGCCTCCCAGCCTCCACCCTCCTCCAGCCTCCAGCCTCCAACCTCCCAGCCTCCCACCCTGCAGCCTCCCAGCCTCCACCCTCCAGCCTCCAGCCTCCCAGCCTCCCAGCCTCCACCCTCCCAGCCTCCCAGCCTCCCACCCTCCAGCTTCCCACCCTCCAGCCTCCACCCTCCCAGCCTCCTAGCCTCCCAGCCTCCCAGCCTCCACCCTTCCACCCTCCCAGCCTCCTGCCTCCCAGCCTCCCACCCTCCAGCCTCCACCCTCCCAGCCTCCTAGCCTCCCAGCCTCCCAGCCTCCCAGCCTCCAGCCTCCCAGCCTCCCCCTTCCTTACTCAGAGCGGCTTACACCGCCTGTCCCAGGGGACAGATGCAAAGACAAACATGGTGTGCTGACAGTGGTGAGGAGAGCATGACTCCCTTGTCCGTATTCTGGCTTCATAACCACCCTGAGGTTCCGAGAGGGTCTGGGCGGGACCAGGGCATTCTGACTTTGATAAGTTCTCTAGGTGTGTCTGAGGAACACCGATTTTGAGAACTAATTCTGGGTTATGAATGCGTTCTTGTTTTTATTACATACATGTAATATATACTATATGCATACCTGCATATTCTACTTTATGAGTATCTTCTCATTTTACAAAAAGCATGATTTTCAGTGATCTTATAGGTTCCCTCAATATGAATGGATCATAAAGTTTAAAATATTGCACTCATTTTAATATATGTTTAATTTTTCTATTGCAAATGATAAAGCTGCCTCTATCTATATAAATGCTTGCCTAACTTCTGACGAATTCTTTCTGATCAATTCCTAGAACTGAAATGGCTAGATGAAGAGCTGCACATTCTTTAAGACCTTAAAGCATGCGGCTAAACTATTTCCCAGGAAAGATGTAATAGTTTATACAACGGTTATAAAATGGTTTTTCTGACCCCTCTCCGCGGGTTTACGATGATGCGATTATTTTTATCATCGATAACCTGACAGCTAAAAACTGTTTTCTCTTTATAGTCTCCGTTTGCATGCATTCGATTATAGAGAGGTTAGACTTTTTCTTCTATGTGAAAAACGAAAGGAGTGTGAGTGGAAGGGGCTGTTTTCTATAGGGTTGTGAGGAAGGCGGACCTCTGGGGGGGGGGGGGTTGTTGGGGTGTTGGGGTTCAGGGTATGACCAGACAGGACCTGGGGAACGGGACTCCCAGGGAGAAGTGTGAGGCCCCGTCTGTGGGGTGAACCGGGAGCGGAGGGTGGGCTGTTCGATGTGGATTTGAAACTGATCCCCGGAAAGCACACGGTGGGGTGGGTGTGGGAGTGTTCGCTGGCTGTCCTTTCTGCTGAAGAAACTCTGAGTAAAATGAACTGAGAGAAGGCAGCACTGAACTTGGATCCTCTCAAATAAAGGGGCATCTGTCTTACTCCGAGGTCAGATTCCATAGAATTACTTACATTATGCAATTATATATAAATATAATACATGTTTCTTTAAATGTTTTACAGATTTCGTTTTAATTTCCATTAGGTTTCTAAAGACTGCTTCTTTTTTAAAAGATGGTTTCTTTTTTTACACTTATATTTTCCTTCTTTTCCCCTTGTGCTCATTTCCCCCATTCTTTACTTTCTGTTTCATCACTATCACTACATGATCTGCCCCCAGTGTAATATGGGAAACAAAATTCTCTTTTCAATTTCTTTACTATTTTAAAAGGTGGTCTTCTCTCTTTTCCTCTCTCTCTCTCTCTCTCTCTCTCTCTCTCTCTCTCTCTCTCTCTCTCTCTCTCTCTCTCTCTCTCTCCTCCTTTTTCCCCTCCCTCCTTCTCATTCTCCACTTCCTCTTAAGTCCAATCCATAGCCTGTTGTGCTTTTTAAATTTTATTATTTCACATACACAAAAAGTTATACAACTTATGTTGGTTAAAGCAAAATACAATAACAAATGCACATGGAGTCACCACTCAACCCAACAATTAAAATAGAACACAATACCACTTCAGCTAGGATGGCTGTAATAAAACAAGGGTGGGCGATGCTGTGGAGAAATGAGAGCCCTTATGCATTGCTGGTGGGGATGACGGACGGGACAGCCATCTGAAAAACAGTCTGGCAGATCTTCAAGTTAAACTTTAGCGTTACCAGGACCCGACACTGCCTCTCCTGGGTGCGTACCGAAGAGCAATGAAAACAGATGTCCGAACAAAACTCGCTACCAACCTTTATAGCAGCTTTGTTTATAATAACCCTAATGTCCATCACTGATGGGTAAACGAAATGAGACATAAACATGCACTGGAGTATTATTCATCCTTAAAAGGAGGGAAGTACCGATACTTGCTGCAACATGATGAATCGTCAGTCGCAAAAGACTGCACGTTATGTGATTTCCTTTATGCTCTGTGTCCTGAACAGACAGCTCTGTGGGGACTCTGAAGCAGATTGGCAGTACCTAGGGCTCAAAGAAAATGGTGACTGCTACTGGATACGCGGCACTTCTCTTTAGGTGACTAAAATATTTTGGAACAGTGCAGATGGTTGCACAGTTTTGTGAATATATTTTTTAAAAAACCCACTGAATTGTATACTTAAAAGGGGTGAATTTTTTCAATTCAAGTTGACATTAAATATTATTTTATGTTATTTTCAGGAGGAGTGAATTTTTTGCTACATGAATACATATTTTAATTTTTAAAATGTAAAAAAAAATAAGTGGGAGGGTTGAGGGTTTATAAAGCAAGGCAAAACAAACCACAACTTACTACCATCCCATCTTTTATTTTTTATTTATTTATTTATTATTTTATTTTTTTAATCTTCACCCGAAGATATGTTTTTATTGATTTTTTTAGAGAGAGAAACATCAGCTGGTTGCCTCCCGTACATGGTCTGACCAGGGATTGAATCTGAAACTAGCTATGTGCCCTGACTGGGGGAATCAAACCTGCAAACCTCCCTGTACAGGACAGCTCCCGGCAGCTGAGCCCCCTGACAGGGGCCCTGTCCCTTCTTTTATCCATCCCCTCCCCTCCCAGGTCACACTGTGCAGTTGTTCTGTTTACCTGTTATTATTTGATAGCCTTCTCCCCCCCCCCCTCCTCCCGCCATTTGGTGTCCACAATGGTTTCCAAATAGTATTGATACAAGGTCAAACATTTTAAATTTAAAAAATGTTTAGTTACAGAACACGTAGCAGTTTAGCAAATAAAGCACATTCCAAGTGTTTTTTAAAAATATGTTAAAGAAGTCAATTTCCATTTACTACTGATGAGAAAATACAATATCAAATGCAGTTCTGATACTTTTCTAAGAATTACTTTTATCAGAGTGTGATTTACATGTAGTGAAATGCGTGATCTTAATTTTACAGTTTGATTAGTTTTGGCAAACACACCCATGTAACCCATTCCCATACCGAGATAAGACCTAACTGCCGGCCGGCGTGGCTCAGTGGTGAGTGTCAGCCTTGAACCAGGAGGTCATGGTCAGGACACATGCTCATGTGCAGGAGGCAGCCAGTCAATGGTTCTCTCTCATCATTGATGTTTTCTATCTCTCTCCCTTCCTCTCTGAAATCAATTAAAAAATATATTTTTATATATTTTATTGTTTATTTACAGAGAGGAAGAGAGAGAGACACACAAAGAGTTAGAAATATCAATGAGCGAGAGACATCGATCAGTTGCCTCCCACACACCCCCCCACCGGGGATGTGCCCACAACTAAGGCACATGCCCTTGACCGGAATCGAACCCGGGACCTTTCAGTCCGCAGGCCGACGCTCTATCCACTGAGCCAAACCGGTCTCGGCTAAAAAATATATTTTTAAAAAGGCAGATATAATCTGCAAAATTGAAAAGCACTCTGCTGTAAGAATTTTTTTTCTTTTTAATCCACACTTTGACAAATTAACAGGCTTTATTTTATAGACCACGTTTAGAATTACAAAAAATTGAGCAGATAATACTGTCTCCAGATGCCCCTCTCGCTGAACCCAGTTTCCCCAATATTAACATCTTACATGAGTATGGTATATTTATTACAATTGATTACATTATTATTAATTAGAGTCCATATTTTATTTAGAATGCCTTAGTTCTTCCTTAATGTCCTTTTTCTATTCCAGGATCTCATCACATTCCGTTGTTGCTATGTTGCTTTAGGCTATTCTGAACTGTGACAGTTTCTCAGACTTTTTTTTTTTTTTAATTATAATTGATTTTTTGCAGAGAGGAAGGGAGAGGGATAGAAAGTTAGAAACATCGATGAGAGAGAAACATCGATCAGCTGCCTCTTGCACACACTCCAGTGAGGATGTGCCCGCAACCAAGGTGCATGCCCTTTACCGGAATCGAACCCGGGACCCTTCAGTCTGCAGGCTGACGCTCTATCCACTGAGCCAAACCGGTTTCGGCTCTCAGACTTTTCTTTTAAATTTTTATTTATTGATTTTTTTTGAGAGAGAGAGATATTAATTTGTTGTTTCACTTATTTATGCATTCATTGGTTGATTCTAGTATGTAACCTGGCTGGAAATTGAACCCATAACCTTGGTATAGCAGGACGATGCTCTAACCCAGTGTTTTTCAACCGCTGTTCCGCGGCACACTAGTGTGCCACGAGATGTTGCCTGGTGTGCCGTAGGTGCAGACAAGACAAGAATTTTATAATTTTTCACTATTTTGTTTACTTAATATTTCATAATAAAGTAATTATAAAATACTTTCTTTGTGTTTATTTGATTCCTATTCAAGAGAATTACTTTATATATAGTCAATATAGGCACAGAGTTAAATTTTTTTAACATTTTCTAATGGTGGTGTGCCTCGTGATTTTTTTCATGAAACAAATGTGCCTTTGCCCAAAAAAGGTTGAAAAACACTGCTCTAACCAACTGAGCTATTTGGCCAGGGTTCTCAGACTTTTCTTGTTTTGATAAACTGATGACAGTTTCTGGGAGTCCTTGCCAGGTACTGTTTAGGACGCTTGTTTTTAAAAATCGCTTTCTTGAGATATTATTAATGTACCACGAAATCCATCCATCCAAAGTTTTTAGTATGGTTTTTATTCTGCTCATGTATGTGTAATTATCAACATGGTCAATTTTAGGACATTTTTATCACCTCAAAAAGAAAACTTGTAACCTTTAGCTATAACATCCCTACCCCCCACATTGTCCTCCCCCATCCCAACCACTAATTAACTGTCTCTATAGAGTTCCTGGATATTTCACGGGAATGGAATAATATAGTATATATGTGGTCTTTGTGATTGTGTCTATTGGAATTTGTCTGATGATTTCTCAAGGATAGACTGGGATTATAGGTTTGGGGGAAAGGAAGGACCTGCTTTATGTGGAGAACGGCAGTGGGTTTGGAGGAACACCTGCTCTTTACGGCGAAGACAGAAATGATCTGAGCCTTCAGTGAGGTGGTGATGCCTGAGGCGCTGGTGGAGGGGAGAGAGAGACAGGAATTACCCACAGCTCTGCAACCACGTTCTAACCCGGCTTAACACAGTCAATTCGGACTCTGAGTCCCATGGGTGTAAATGTCTGTCTGTAACCGCATTCAGCACAAACTACAGGGTAAATCCTCTTTCCCCAGAGAAGTTGCTCCCCTTTCAGTCCTAGAGAAACATGTGCTGCCAGCTCAGAGTGAGAGCATGGTTGTGAGGAGTCTGCATCTTCCACTGTTATAAGAAGTGTGGGCTGTGCTGGCACGGGAAGCATGTGCAAGCATAAGCCATGTTGGGGACGTTTAGTCATTTTGTGTATGAGAGTTTCTGGAACTCTCCCAGGTACATTTGTTCAGTCTAAATTCCAGAAACCGTTTGCAAAGTCAAACAGAAATGATTTGTGGGTTAATTGTGCTTAGGAATTAACTGTACCCTTGTTTTGTTTCATGGTCAAGAGATAGTACTAAACTGTACATTTTATTTGTTTATTTTTAAAGTATCTTATTGATTTTTTACAGAGAGGAAGGAAGAGGGACAGAAAGTTAGAAACATTGATGAGAGAGAAACATCGATCAGCTGCCTCCTGCACACTCCCTACTGGGGATGTGCCCGCAACCAAGGTACATGCCCTGACCAGAATCGAACCTGGGACCCTTCAGTCCGCAGACCCATGAGCCAAACGGGTTAGGGCTAACCTGTACATTTAAAGTGTGGAGCACAAGCTGAGAGCATACGTTCTGTGTGTGCCGACGTGATGACAGACCGCAGCATGAAGGCGGAGTGAAGCCGTAGGCGCAGTCAGTAAATTCCTGGAATCAGCATTATCTTATTGGAACGAGCACTAAGTGTGTCTGGGCGGTACTCCCTGTGCAGAGGATGCCAAAGTCCCGCTGTGCTTGTCGGAAGAAGCACTTGGCGCTGGCAGCGGTGCCCGGGGTGGCTCCGTTGGCTGGAAGAACCCTCTCCGGTGCAGCACTGGTTGGATGTAAGAGGGAGGGCAGGCACGTCGAACAAACTGTGGCTCTGTTCTCGTTTGTTTGGCGCTTTCACATCCTGGGCCCTAGCACCGGTCAGGCACCAGTCCCCACCGTGATCTTTGCAGGGGCTGAAGACGTGGTTAAGTTTTGCAGGTCAAGGAGCCCGCACTGCAGTGAGAGAAAGATGTGTGTGCACCTGAGCGTCAGGGAGCGATGCAAACAGGGAGGCTGCAGCCCGGCTCAGCCCGGCTCCTGCTCCGGCCGCAGGTGGTCCGATGCACACAGGTTGGAGCCCGCTGTTAGGTGATGGGGTGTCAAAGCAAGTGGGTGCAGGCCGCACGTTTGTTTCCATCTCCTGGTTGCCCCCTCGGGCACAGGAGGGCCGAGCTGGTGTTGGTACAGGGAACAGGGCGCTGAGAGCTCCGGCCCGGGAGAGGCTGAGGGGGCCGCGGAGGCCTGCAGCCCTGGGAAAGGCTCTTAGAGGCCAGTGTCCACGCAGCCTTCTCTCACCGGGCATTTGTAAGCCGCCTTATTTCCTAAATCCTTCCAGCGGGAGTGCAGTTCCCTTTAAAAGGGCGCACGTGGAGTAGAGGTTGATGGGAAGCGAGTCCCCACGCGGCCCCCCTCGCTCACCCGCTCTCCTCCCCGTGTTCCAGGTGGAAAGCTCTCGGTGGTGCTGCCGGCCGAAGCCGCCTCGGAGCTCCTGCGAGACCCAGCCACCGCCTCCCTGGCCAAGGTGAGGACCGCCTGCCCGCAACAGCCAGGAAGTGCCATCACCCAGACACCCCGCCGGGGCGTCGTGTCACAGTGACGCCCGGTGAAACCCCCTCGCTGGAGCCTCCGCTCCTGCTGGCCAGGTGTCAGCTTCTGCCGCTGCTCGCTCTGATTTCTTTCTTTTTTTAAAAAAAATATATATTTTTATTGATTTTGTACAGAGAGGAAGGGAGAGAGATAGAGAGTTAGAAACATCAATGAGAGAGAGTCATCGATCAGCTGCCTCTTGCACACCTCCTACTGGGGATATGCCCGCAACCAAGGTACATGCCCCTGACCGGAATCGAACCCGGGACCCTTCAGTCCCCAAGCCGACGCTCTATCCACTGAGCCAAACCGGTCTCAGCATCGCTCTGATTTCTTACTAAAAGAGTCAAAATAGCGTTTTAGGAGGGAGGTCCGTTTATAGCAAAACAGGAACCAGGGCAGAGGGTTAGTTCTTACCATTAGTAATGTGCCCCCTAGAGTCCCCATCCAGGTTTCTACCTCCTCTAATATAACTCTTAGTTTTTAAACCTTATTTATTTATTTTTAGAGAGAGAGGGAGGGAAAGAGGGAGAGGAACGTCAGTGTGTGGTTGGCTCTGTCTGTGCCCTGACTGGGGATGGAACAGGGTGGGCTCTAACGCGGCCGCCGGCCGGTGCATACACCTTTAAGCCGCGGCTTATGGGAACAGGGGGCACCTGAGAGGGACGGGCCCTCAGTAAGGAAGGGCTGGCTGCGGGCGGGGGAGAGCCGGCGGGGAAAGCCGTGTGGGCCGTTCCTGGGCCCCGGGGCGCGGCCGTGCCAGACACCGGCTGGCATCTGGATACGGGAGGCCCCGCACTCCGCCTTGGGTTTACAGCTCGGAAACTTCAGTCCAGACAGATAAGTGCCGGCTCCAAGGCCGAGCGTGCGGCCGGCGGTGTCTGAATGGATTTACGAGGGGCAATAAGGGCCTTGTCCCTGAGCTCGGAGGCCAAAGTGCTCTTCGGGAGGCGCTGGCGGGCAGCAGCCTTTGCCCGGCCCCTGCCCTGGCCCCGCCGTGCTGCTGGATCGCCTCCTACGGCGGGAGCCGCCGGCCCCCTGCGGGGAGGTGCCCTCCCTCCGGCTCTCCCTGCCCTCTGACCTCACCTCCCTTTCCCAGCCTGGGCCCCACTTTCTTCCTGTCTCCCCCCCCCCCCCCCCCCCAATCCTCCAGCCTTCCCCAAAAATCCAACAGCCCTCTCCCTGGGAGGGTCTCTTCATCAGGAGGCCGCCGGCCGCCGGCTGGGCCTCCCCACCTGACACCCCAGCGGGTGGTTGGCCAGCGGCTCCAGGTGAGGTCCGGCAGGCGGCGGCCCTGACCTGGAGGCCGGTACCGGAGGCTGAGGACGGCCCTGGCCTGCAGAGGCCGCCGCCCAGGCTTCCCTGTGACCCCGGGGCGCCTGCCTCTGCCTGTGCGGCCGGCGTTTGCTGACTGCCCTGCGCTGTCCGCTCCGTGACTGTGACTCCCGCCCCGTGGGCCAGCGCTTTGGAGAGTAGAGCCTCAACGGCGAGTTGTGAGGACGAGCGGGAGGCTGGGGTCCCGCCAGGCGGGGGACGGTTAGTGACACCGGTGAGAACGTGATGGGGAGCCAGAGGGCTCCCAGGGAGGCAGCAGTCCCAGCCCCTCTCCCCCACCCATACGGTGGTCACCAGGCCAGAACCCAGGCCTTGTTCTTAGGGACAGCTGATCCATGAGGTGGGGGAAGAGGGTCAGGAGATGGGTTGCTGAGAAGGGGGGAGGGAATCACAGTGTCTGTGTATGTGTTCAGACTGAATCCGAAGTTCTTAGAGAGCGTGCCGGCCAGAGGCAGGGCGGGCGGAGGGCACGCCCTTCCCTGGGCGAGGGGGGTGGGGTGGGGAAGACCAGGCCGTGAGAGCGGAGTTCTCAGGGAATAGCATGGCCAGGCGAGGGCCTGCCTGGGGCGGACTTTGAACTGCCGCCTGGGATGGAAATAAAGCTCCGCACTGCAGGGGGGTCTGCAGAGATCCCAGCGGGAGGGCCGTGGGTGGCAGGGGCATGTACCAGGGTACCAGGCTCCTCCCCGGCTGGGGCTCAGGTCAGGGCTCATACTGAGGCAAACCATCCCAGTGTCCCCTGCCTCCGTCCTGGCAAAGGGAGGCCACGTGGAGGTGCGGCCCAGGGCAGCCCTGGCCTCCGACTCCCTCCTGGGGCTTACCCCCAGGTCGGCACACAGTACTCCAGGCACGCCTTCGTTTACTCACATTCCATTACTGAGCGCTTACTGGGTGCTGAGCACATAGGGGATGTATCCCCAGCGGACCAGCTCCTCCCAGAAACACACACACACTCCTTCCCAGCTTCTCCTCTTTTCCCTGGGAAATCCCACCTGGGCGTGTTCCGCTCAGTGACAGGGAGAAACTGAACAACGTTTCTGGGCAGCTCCTCATCTTGAAATCGCTTGTCTCTGATGACCCGTTTCCTCCTTTCCAGGACGCAGTGGATTTCCTGTCTCTCGATTGGTCCTATGATTGCCGAGGAGGGCGGAGCTTGCTGCAGGAGCTGAGGGAGCTGCAGGTGAGTGGCTATAGGAGGAGGGGCTGATGTCTGCTCACACTGGGCAGACCTGCTGCACTGCATCGGGAGCTTCCCCCAGTACCTCGCTAGAGGACATGCGGAGGCTAGGTCTTCCCAGGAAGGATGGTGCCGGTGGGCTGTTAGGGTAAATATTTCCATGCAAGCCCTGCTTTCCTGTGTAGAAATCCACTGAGAATCCAAATTCCAGATGAACAAAGACAGTTCCTGGGTTTGGCTCCTGGTTGTACAACAATGTGAATGTGCTTAATTCCTCTGGACTGTCTTCTTACACCTGGTTAAGATGGTAAAGTTTATGTTATGTGTGTTTTACCACAATTTGTTTTTTTAATGACATTTGACACCCAGGTCTGCAAAAATCAGATACCAGCTTTCTGGACTTTCTTATAACCTCTGACCCCTTCTTCCCGTCCCCAGTGTTGTTTTTCTCAAGTCTAACGATCCTGACTCCTTAGAGAGAGTATGTCAGGTGTCTGCTACCCGACTCTTAGCTCCTCTCCTGTGCCTGGTCACCGCTGTGCAACTTCCTGCTTTATTCCTGGAATCCCGACTGTTCCCCTCCTGGCAGAGTGTAATGGACGACCTGCCCCGCAGTTTCCCTCTGGACCTGCCGAGTCCGGCAGTGTTCCTGCCTCACCCCCGAAGAGCCAGCTGCCCTCCTGCGGCCTCTCTAATTCCAGCCTCTGCCGGTTCAGGCACAAAGCCACTCGCCTTGCTCTGTGCCTCCTGGTTTGGATACCACCACCTCCACCACCACGGAGATGGATTGTCAGAGGAATTATTCATTTAAATTTAAAGGCCAGCCGAGACCGGTTTGGCTCAGTGGATAGAGCGTCTGCCTGCGGACTGAAAGGTCCTGGGTTCAATTCCAGTCAAAGGCATGTATCTTGGTTGCGAGCACATCCCCGGCAGGGGGTGTGCAAGAGGCAGCTGATCGATGGTTCTCTCTCATTGATGTTTCTCTCTATCCCTCTTCCTTCCTCTCTGTAAAAAATCAATAAAATATATTTAAAATAAATAAATAAATAAATTTAAAGGACATGCACATTAATGTCCAGGCTCAGTGCTGCAGCTAGGGGACCTCCATTTTTCCCGAGACGGGAGACCCGACGTGGGCAAACCAGCATCGGTCCCATCCCTGTATCTGTGTTTCCAGCTGGCCGTGTAGATGCTGCTGCTTTTGTTACCTGCACACAAGACGATCCCCTCAGAATAGCGGTGCTAGCTGCTCGGGTTTCAGGGCCTGCTTACCCCGGGCACTGGGCAGGCCCTTTTCCTCTCATGACCTCCCTCTCAGCCCCTCACAGACCGCCCCCCCTCAGCCCCTCACAGACCCCCCCGTCTCAGCACACCCGAGACCAAGCTCTTGAACCAACGTCAGACCCTGGGGCGGGAGCCCGAGCTGAGGTTGGACTGGGCTTTCCCAGGACACCATAGCGCCTCTCAAAAACCAAAACAAGCCCACGGTGTTGGGACATGCTCATTGGTGGCCCTTTTGAAAAGCACAGGTGGTCTTAGTTGTTCTGTAAGCACCTCCTAGGAGCCCGCAGGCCGCTCCGTGGGTCTTCGAGGCCTGCAGACGCCTGTGCTGGCTGAATCCGTGTCTCCTCTTCCTCCAGGAACCCAACCAGGGCCTGTTGCTCGGCTCGGGGCTGAGGCACGGGGCGGGGTTGGGGGGTTGGAAACCCCGGGTTATGCAGGTGCAGCATTGGGACAGGCAGCAGAGCCCTGGCTCCTCTGCTGCTGGAGGATTGGGGGGCAGTCAGATGAGCCCGTCTGCTTGGTGGGGTCGGTGGGGCGGGTGGCCTGTGGTGTTAGAAAGTTGGCTCTTTCTCCCGCAGAGCCTGGAGCCGGCTCCTGTATTAACTGGGGTGGCTAGAGAGAATTTCCAAAGCCGGATTGAGTATTCATCGCTTCCCATCTTTAAATGTCGGCCCCTGTTATCGAACGACGTACCGTTTCGGTTCACTTGCCGGCCTTTATCTTTTCAGAGAATTGAGCCAAAAGTGAAAGTTTTCATCTTCAGTCTAAAGCTCCAGAACTGCCCCTCCACCGGGAAGAGCCGGGCTGAGCTGCTCCTCAGCGTCTTCGAAGGTGAGCGGGCCGTCGCTGGAGCGGCTTTGGGTGGCCTGTGGTGCACTGACTCGGGGCCGGGGGTACAGTCCTGAAAGTCTGGGGTTCCCAAGGAGAGTTGGTGTGAGAGCCCATCCCGATGCCTTCGGTGTCCCCTGCCTTCCTGTTGTTGGTCCTTAGCTCCCATTGGCCCGAGAAAGGTGGCAGGTTCTGTTGAGGATGCCGAGGATATGGAGGAAAGGCCACCGGGCTCCAGGCGTCTGGTGTAAGCTCTGTGTCTCTCTGTCCACGTCCATTGCCTCTCTCTCCAAGGTTCCTCCCCTCTGCACCCCAGGCTCGGCTGCCTCTCTGCCCCCAGCCAGCCCCCTCTGCTCACCCTTGTTCATTTCCCCACTCCCTCAGCTTGCACTTGGTCCTGGTGGGTACCTGAGCTGTAGGCCTAGGACCACCTCCTCAATAGCTCTGGTTCTTAACAGTGAATCTGATTGGTTGGCATGGTTCGGGAGGTTGCTCCTGCTCCAGTCAGCTCAAGGGAAAGGTGGGGCCTGTTAAGCCATCAGGACACTATAGGAGGGGCCGAGGGGCATATTCCTAGGGCCCTGATAGCCCAGTCACCCTAAAGGTCAGAGTATGGGGCAAGTCAGTCGTGCTCTTCCCACCACTTGTAACCAGTGCTGAGCTGGCTTCACAGACCTCATGAAACCACTTACTAACCCTCCCCTAGCTTACCTTTCACGGCATAGCAAGTTCTTAAATTCCCTCCCTTTCTAAATGGCTAAAATGGTCGATTTTATGGTTAACATATTCCGTATTTTTCGGACCATAAGACGCACTTTTTCCCCCCCAGAAGTGGGGGGGAAAAGTCCCTGCGTCTTATGGTCCAAATATAGCCTACACATATACTTTAAAAAAAAAGTTTTTTTACTTGCCCGGCTCTGTGTGGTCTCTGTGTGCTTGCCCGGCTCTAAAATGGTTCTAAATGCTGCTGTTTACTTTACAGGGTTGATTACATGTGTTTATGACTGTGATGTTGGGTTTTAATGCACATAAAATATTTTAGGACACTATTTGTTTCAGAATCTTTTTTTCTTCATTTCCCTTCTCTAAAAACTGGTGCGTCTTATGGTCCGGAGCGTCTTATGGTCCGAAAAATACGGTAGTTCACTGCATTTTTTTAAACCGCCTCTTTCTGATAGGTGACCTCTAAATCAATTGTCCTCCGTGTGTGGTCGCCAGACCAGCAGCGGCAGCATCACCTGGGACCCTGTGGGACATTCCCAGGCCCGAGCCCACCTCAGGCCAGAACTGCCCAGAGACTGTGGGGGGTGGGGGCCCGGCCATGTGTGTTTCATGAGCTCTATGGGTGATGTTGGCGCACAAGAGTTTGAGAGCCGCCGTCCTATGTAGGTAGGGACCACTTCTGGCTCCTTCAATCCTTGGCCCAGGGAGTTCTCCAGAGGGGCCTGGAGCCATTGCCTAGAGGCTGGATGTGCCGTACATGTGAGGAAAACCATTGACTGCACCATGAGCATCGTCGGTCTTAACAGTGAATCTGTTAATTAAACCTCTTCTCTTACAGCCCTCGATAAAGGCCAAGAGAAGAATATATTAATTGGGTCTGACATTAACATATTCCTGAACTGTTCATCAAGTCTCGAGGAAAGGTAATGTAGATTTCCTGTCACACCATCCGCAACTGGCATTTGCAGACGACTCTGCTGTTCTTTCACACGTGTCATCTCATGGGACCGTTGTCACCTGCCTCTCAGGCCAGCGAGTGAGTTGTGGACACTTTAGAGGAGGAAGGTGAAGGCTCAGAGGGGACAGCAGGGAGAACCCATCCCTCACCGAGTCTTCCTCCGGGCCCGGCGTGGTTCTGGCATTCTCACCCGTCGTTGGCCACCTTGCCGTTCACACACGAGCGCACGCAGCTGGGACTTGCACCCCTGCCTTCTAGTGTAGACCCTGTGAGTGCGAGGCAGAGCGGGCTGGGAAGACAGGTCTGAACATCCCACCGAGCTACGCGGTCTGAATAAGAGCCGAGTCCCCTGCATCTGCTCCTCATGGGAACGGGAGACGCTTCCTGTGAGGAGACGGCGTAGGTAGGGCAGAAGCCTAACTCGGGGGTGTTCTCAGGACAGACTGTAAATATATATTTTATTGATTTTGTACAGAGAGGAAGGGAGAGAGATAGAGAGTTAGAAACATCGATGAGAGAGAGTCATCGATTGGCTGCCTCTTGCACACCCCCTACTGGGGATATGCCCGCAACCAAGGTACATGCCCTTGACCGGAATCGAACCCGGGACCTTTCAGTCCCCAAGCCGACGCTCTATCCATTGAGCCAAACCTGTTTCGGCTCAGGACAGACTTTAATTTATCCCGGGGCTGCCAATAATTTCTTAACAAATAACCAAAATTTGTAAAAGACATCTTAAAAAATAGAGTAGATCTGAGGTTCTCCCCACGATTATAGGACTTCACCCACTCACATCCCAAGGTGCTTCTCGGGGGAGCGAGAACCGGACGGTGTGGGAACCAGCACCGGGCGTTCCCCAGAACCTCACCTCCAGGGGGTGTCTGTCACCAGGGCGCTCCTGCACCGGGCACTAGGGGAGGGCAGAGGCCACCACTGTCTGCCAGACCATCAGCGCGCGCACTCCTGTGTTTGCCGCAGGCGTTACTAGCACGGCTCAGTCCAAGGTGGTAAACTTCAGTCCCCGCCACCTCTTCGTACTTCTCCTCTGGCAGCTCTTGGCTGTGCTGTGCCGATTTAATCCTGTCAACGCAATTCCAATCAGCAATTCCCGTCAACACCCTGGGCCGCTGCCTGCCACCTGCCGGGCTCCGTGCTGGGAGCCTGCGCAGTGCAGCGGGCAGACAGGCTGGACCTGTGCCCCAACCACACTTGACATCAGCGGGGCTCTGTCTTCTCAGAAAGCAAACTCAGCCCTGCTGGCATGGCTCAGCAGCTGAGCATCGACCTGTGAACCAGGAGGCAGCCTCAATCCCCAGTAGGTGAGCAGGAGGGGACAGATCAATGATTCTTTTATCACAGATGTTTCTGTCTCCCTCTCCCTTCCTTTTTTTTTTTTTTTTTTAAATATATTTTATTGATTTTATACAGAGAGGAAGGGAGAGAGATAGAGAGTTAACATTGATGAGAGAGTCATCGATCAGTTGCCTCTTGCACACCCCCTACTGGGGATATGCCCGCAACCAAGGTACATGCCCTTGACCGGAATCGAACCCGGGTCCCTTCAGTCCCTAAGCCGACGCTCTATCCATTGAGCTAAACTGGTCTCGGCCCTCTCCCTTCCTTTCTGAAGACAATAAAAATATATTAAATTTTTTTTTTTAAAAAAAAGAAAGCAAAACTCAAGGGGTACCCTGAGAGCTTAATGATTATAAAACCACGAGATGATACATGACACCAGCTCCAGGGGTCCCCTGATCTTTGCCTGAAGTGAAGGTCACACTGCCCGGTGTTAAGCTGACAGTGGGGTCCTCACCCAGGTGATGATGGAGAGCCTCTGGGTGCTGGGGCGGGAGAAAGGGGTTCTAAGGGGACGAACATTGTTTTATCATTTGAGAGTTTTAGACCGTGGGGAGGAGACAAAGAGGCCCATCAGTGGCTCTAACACAAGAGGGTGGCATGAAACACCCACCGCTCCCCAGCGTCTTATCTGGGATGTTCTGAGATGGCTTGGAGCAGGAGGAGGGTGGGCTGAAGGAGGGACAGCGGGAGGGGCTGGGCAGAGACTCCCAGCTCCAAGGTTTACGTGGCAAGTTCTGTTTTATCCAGGGGCGGTCTATTTATTTCTTCAAGGCCTCTTCCCACCCAAGCTCGGAGAGTCAGGTCAGAGCAGCCAAGGCTGTGCACTGAGTGGGTGTCATCTGTCGTGTTCCAGAGCCGTGCATATGTTTTGGGTAATTCACAGCTCTAGCTCATCATTTCCCCTCACCACTCTCACAGCAAATGTGGATGAGCTGATGCTTCATAAAACAGGAGGCGCTTAGTTAGGTTGTAAGGCCCAGGCTTCCCTGAATGGAGGGAGGCCCCTCTGCAGCACCCCCGTCACTCCCACCAGTTCTTCATTCTGGGCCAACCCAGGAGAAGGTCATCCCCTCCACACGCGGCCCTCTGACAGGGAGATGCTCTGTACTCACCCCGTTTTCCCCAAGAGTGTTCTCTTCTCCAGACCAAAATCAATAGCCATCCTTCCTCAAGATCGCCCTCTGCTGGTGGAACTGTGCAGGCTCCGGCATGGCCCTTTCTAGCCTGCCGGACATGACTCACAGATTGGGAAATCAATTTAGAAGTTTGATTTGAACCATTAAAAAAAAAAAAAAAAAAAAGTTTTTCCCCCCAAAAAATGGAAGGAAGGAAAGAATCAGACTTTATTGCTTATGACTAGAGCATTTTAATGTTTTATTTTAGATACATTTATTATTATTATTTTTAATCCTCACCCGAGGATATTTTCCTATTGATTTTTAGGGAGAGTGGAAGAGAGAGGGAAAAACAGAAACATCGATGCGAGAAAAGCACATTGACTGGTTGCCTCCAGCATGAGCCCCAACCAGGGCCCAGGTCTGGGGAGGAGCCTGCAACCGAGGTACGTGCTCTTGGCCAGAGTTTAACCCAGGACCCTTCAGTCCACAGGCCTCCCCTCTACCCACTGAGCCAGACTGGCTAGGGCCAGATATATTTATTTCTGAAATAAAACAAAACGCAAGAAATATGTACATAAATGTCTATCCATCTACACACATACATAGTGATATGTGTTTAAAAATACAAACACTACTCTACCATTTGCAAACTATGTGATCAAGGAGAAGTTTTCATTTAAAAAAAAAAAAAACACACCCTAACCGGTTTGGCTCAGTGGATAGAGCATTGGCCTGTGGACTTAAGAGTTCCAGGTTCGTTTCCGGTCAAGGGCATGTACCTTGGTTGCAGGCACATCCCCAGTGGGGAGGTGTGCAGGAGGCGGCTGAATCTATGTTTCTCTCTCATCGATGTTTCTAATTCTCTATCCCTCTCCTTTCCTCTCTGTAAAAAGCCAATAAAATATATATATATTTAAAAACACAACAACACACACACACACACACACACACACACACACACACACACCAAGATATGAGTTAATTTACATGAAGTCTGGAGGTGGGCAGTCTAGAGGGGTTATAACCGCAGGAATCCAGGCTCCTCTCTCGTTGCTTTGTCAGCCTGAACCAGGCTCCTCCCTCCTGGTGCAGCGTGGATGCCTTAGTCCAGGCAGCAGGAGGGGGCGAGGAGGCTGCAGCTGGGCTGGTCTCTGGCGGCTACACGTCAGCAGAGGCGTACAGTAGTGTGATCACCGAAACGTCTGTGCCAGCTGCCAAAAAGCTGGTGCCAGTTACTCAGTTCTCTAAGTCTCTGCGTCCTCCTCTGAAGGGTGGAGAGAAATAGTTACTATACCTCGCTCATAAGTGCATAGTGAAAGTCAAATGACATACATGCATACGTTTTTATCACAGGGGCCAGCACAGAATCAAGGCTCAGTACACTGAAGTTAGCATTCGTATTACGTGTGTTTTACAAACAACAAATTATAAGAAAAGTGTGGCATGAAAACTGAAGACAGTCCGCAGGGGGAGCTAGTACAGAAAACAGTTGCATTGGTACAGTGTTTGTGTTCACCCGGGAGCAATGATAATCCACATAAGAAAATTGGAAAGCAATTCAAAATGCCTGCAACTAGCATGAGCTGGAAATGAATAAATGACTCAAGAAGGGGCCATAATAATAATTTCCCCCGACCAGCCACTCCCTGCCTGTGACTTTGTGGACATGGCTTTCCACTCAGTGTCTCTGTGTCTTCACCGATTACAGACGTTGTCACTGTCCATCAGTCTGGGGGCATGTGTACTCAGAGTCATCACTAACCATGTCCTTTCCTGTGACTTTGTCGTAGCGGGTCTTGTCCCCTGACTGACAGCCCGGCCCTGCAGGGCGCGGGGCCGTGGGGCTCGGAGACCGCCCTGGGCTCCCCGCCCCGCTCCGCCTACCAGAGGGCCTGGGCCGCCTTCGCTCGCCAGCCCCCGGCGGAAAGGGATGCTTTCCTGCGGGATGTCTTCCCCGAAGGCTTCCTCTGGGGCGTCTCCACCGGAGCCTTCAACGTGGAAGGAGGCTGGGCCGAGGACGGAAGAGGGCCAAGCGTGTGGGACCGACCCGGACCCCAGCGGGCCGCCCCGGGCGTGGCCAGCGACAGCTACCACAAGGTGGACTCGGACGTGGCCCTGCTCCGCGGCCTCCGGGCCCAGGTCTACAAGTTCTCCATCTCCTGGTCCCGCATCTTCCCCACCGGGCGCGGGCCCAGCCCCAACCCCCGGGGCGTCGCCTACTACAACAGGCTCATCGACGGCCTGCTGGCCTCGCACGTGCAGCCCATGGCCACGCTGTTCCACTGGGACCTGCCGCGGGCCCTGCAGGACCGAGGCGGGTGGCAGAACGAGAGTGTGGTGGACGCTTTCCTGGACTACGCAGCCTTCTGCTTCTCCACCTTCGGGGACCGCGTGAAGCTGTGGGTGACCTTCCATGAGCCGTGGGTGATGAGCTACGCGGGCTACGGCACCGGCCAGCACCCGCCGGGCATCTCCGACCCCGGAGTGGCCTCCTTTAAGGTACTTCGCATCTTTGTGGCTCCTACTCGTCATGAGAAGTAGGACATTCGGTAGGAGAAAGTCGTTTTATCTTCCTCTCAGCAAGTGTTTACTTTTGTTTTTTAAAGGAAATCAGAGGGAGGGAAGGAACCATAAAGTGTTAATCACCTTATTTTGTCCAAGAATGGTGGTGGCTCTTTACAAATAGTCTTGACATCCTTAGGATGGCACTGATGGGTGTGACTGCATCCTCAGGACACCTGATGGGTGACAAAGGTGGGGTTTAGGAGGAGAATCCATTTGGTCATGATGACATCACTAGCGGGGCAGCTAGAAGCCAGAATTTGAGCTCAAGTCTGCCCGACTCCAAAGCAAGTTTTGTGAGTCACCCAGGACTCTCAATTGATAGAAAACCCAACTTCAGTCTAGCAGGTAGGGGAAATATGAGCTCAGGAAACTGGAAAGTCTTGGTTTAGGTGATCAGACCACAAACGATGCTGCCAGGACCCAGTTTCGCTTCTGCTCTCGCTCCCTTGTTGGCTTTACTCCTGGGCTGCCTGGTGGCCAGGAGGCAGCAGCCCTCTCTCGTCTAGTACAGAAAACAGTTGCATTGGTACAGTGTTTATGTTCACACAGGAGCAATGATAATCCACATAAGAAAATTGGAAAACAATTCAAAATGTCTGCAATTTTGGGAAGCAAGCGTGCTTCTATCTGTCATCGCAGAACCCTCCCTGTGCCTCTGGTCTCTGTGTGAGTCATATGGCTCTGACAGGTTGGGTCCAGGTCCCAGCTCTACCCCTCAGCACAGTGGGAGCTGGGGAGCAGCATGGGTTGGCTTTCCAGAGAGCAATCAGGGTATCAGTTCAACAAGAAGGAGATGTATATAATGGAGACAAAATATAAAATGGCTTCCTTCCATCGTTTCCTTTTTCTTAAAAATCTCCCAGAAAACCCACCAGCTTTCCCTGTCCGCATTCTCCGGGAGAGACATGTTAGCTGGCTCTCCCCTGCCACACTTCGGGGTTTTGTTCTGAAGGGGCATTTGTTGTGTCCCATGCTGGGTCTTAAGGAGGACACACAGCCTATGTCCGTGAGGTCTTAAAATCTTTGGGGGGAAATGATGCTAACACACATAAGAAAATTGGAAAACAATTCAAAATGTCTGCAGTTAGCATGAGTGGAAATGAATAAATGACTCAATAAAATGCCCAGATCACTGCACTTCAAGGTTTCCATCCTGCTCTTGTTCAGCAAGTACACCAGGAAGAGAAATACACTTCTGAAGATGGAGGTTTGAGACTCACCCAAACCTTTTCTCCTTAGGCTTCTTCTTTTCCTAAGCATACTTTAAAAAAAAAATAAAAAAAATATATATATCTATTGTATATCTATCTATCTATCTATCTATCTATATATATATATATGTTTTTATTGATTTTAGAGAGAGGAAGGGAAAGGAGAGAGAGAGAGAGAGAGAGAGAGAGAGAGAGAGAGAGAGAGAGAAACATTGATCAGTTGCCTCCTGCACATCCCCGATCAAGGACTGAACCCACACCCAGGCATGTGTCCTGGCTGCAAATCAAACTGGCAGGCCAGGCCAAGGGACCCCACTGGTGCATGAATCCGTGCACCGGGCCTCTAGTTTTGATATGAATTTCTTCAAAAGTAAGTGTAGTCATCTTCAGATGAGAAAAAGGAAGGGGAGCTGAGCGGTAGCAAGCTCTCCTCAGCACTCCCAAGTTTCTGCTTGTATATGTACAGTCTCACTTACTTCTCCTCTGTGGATCCGTAAGTACCTGCTGCTTACGGACTAGGGACCTGAGTTAGAAGATGGTTTGAGGTTAACGAGCAAGTTAGTGACAGAGTCAGGACTTCAATCTGGGCATGTTATACTCCAGACACCCTGCTTTTGCCCGTCTTCCCATAGTGCTCCACCAAGGAGAGCTGTTGATCTTTGTAAGGCTATCAGTTAAGTCTGCAGAGAGATTCCTGGTGGTGATGTCTCCTTCCTAGATTTTATTTTTATTTTATTTTTATACATATTTTTTTAAATATATTTTATTGGTTTTGTACAGAGAGGAAGGGAGAGAGATAGAGAGCTAGAAACATCGATGATAGAGAGTCATCGATCAGCTGCCTCTTGCACACCCCCTACTGGGGATATGCCCGCAACCAAGGTACATGCCCTTGACCGGAATCGAACCTGGGACCTTTCAGTCCCCAAGCCGACGCTCTATCCACTGAGCCAAACCGGTCCCGGCTCCTTCCTAGATTTTATTAAGTGGAAAGGAGAATAAGTAAGCTAGGAAGAATTGTCCCCTCCTTTGTGTAGTAACCAAAATGATCTCCACTCCCCACTAGTTGTTGACTAATAAGTCAATAAGCACTTATTGAGAATGGAGGCAGGCTAGCATCGTGGGAGACAATACAGGCTGGAGTCGGAATGCCTGCATTTTGCCCTCTCTGGATCTTGTTTTCCTCACCTGGATGGCAGGAATAATAGTTTGCCCCATAGGTTACTGTGAGGATTACATGAGTAAATGCATTAACAATTGCTATGGCTAATATGGTTGTCGATGCTGTTGCTATTAACCTCTCTGGGGTGGTGTTGACATTGTTGTCCACATTGCTGACATTGGGGGCATTGGTGGTGATGTTGCCATCAGCACTGTCCGTATCGTAGACTTGTTGATATTGTGAGCATCAGTCTTAACCTCTTGTTGGCATTGTTGATATTTTAATGACAGTGATAGCATTAGTGTTGATGTTATTAATGTTGACATTTTCAGTGTTGCTGTTATTAGTAATTTGCTGATATTACTGACATTGGTGTTCATTTGTTGACGTTGTTGTTGACTCGCCATTGGCTTGTTGGTGCTGTTGTTGACACTGTACCTCCTTTCCTCTTCACAGGTGGCTCACTTGGTCCTCAAGGCTCATGCCAGAGCTTGGCACCTCTACAACAGCCAGCATCGCCAGCAGCAGCAGGGCCGTGTGGGCATCGTGCTGAACTCAGACTGGGCAGAGCCCCTCTCCCCAGAGAGCCCCGAGGACCTGAGAGCCTCCGAGCGCTTCCTGCACTTCATGCTGGGCTGGTTTGCACACCCCATCTTTGTGGATGGGGACTACCCAGCTGCCCTGAGGGCCCGGATTCAACAGATAAACAAGCAGTGCCCCAGGCCCGTGGCCCAGCTCCCTGAATTCACCGAGGCCGAGAAGCAGCTCCTGAAAGGCTCAGCTGACTTCCTGGGTCTGTCCCACTACACTTCCCGCCTCATCAGCACGGCCCCACAGGACACCTGCAGCCCCAGCTATGATACCATCGGAGGCTTCTCCCAGCACACGGACCCTGCCTGGGCCCAGACCTCCTCCCCTTGGATTCGCGTGGTGCCCTGGGGTATGAGGAGGCTGCTGCGGTTTGTATCCTTGGAATACACAAGAGGACAAGTTCCCATCTACCTGGCTGGGAATGGCATGCCCATCGGGGAAAGTGAAAATCTCCTTGATGATTCCTTGAGAGTAGACTACTTCAATCAATATATCAACGAGGTGCTCAAGGGTAAGCACAGTGGATATGCTGGTGATCCAGCATATATAAAACCAAGGAGTCCTGATACTAGCGGATGGGGCACATCCTCTCCATTATTCATTTTAAGACAAGGATGCTCCTTTGAACTGAGTGATGGCCGTGGATGTGGCCTGACGTTTTGTGGGGCCTTGTGAATTTTCCTTATCCATTCTGAAGGAGCAAAGAGATTCATGATTTTGGAGTAACCCTCTAAATCACCTCCAGAACTTTCCTGTCAAAGGAAAGCCTTTAAAGAGCAAACTAACAGAGGCGTTAAAATAACACTGTTGTATTTTTGTTCTTCCCCACAGCTGTCAAGGAGGACTCGGTGGACGTTCGATCTTACATTGCTCGTTCCCTCATCGATGGCTTCGAAGGGCCCTCTGGGTACAGCCAGAGGTACGGGCTGCACCACGTCAACTTCGAGGACAGCAGCAGGCCCAGGACTCCCAGGAAATCTGCCTATTTCTTCACCAGCATCATCGAAAACAATGGTTTCCTCACCAGAGAAGTGAAAAGACTGCCACCCCCCAGGACGGCAGCTTTCCCCCCTCCAGTCAGAGCCTTCCCTTTTCCATCCGAGGTGCCCTCCAAGGCCAAGGTAGTCTGGGAGAAGTTCTCCAACCAGCCCAGGTTTGAACGAGACTTGTTTTACCACGGCACGTTCAGGGATGACTTCCTGTGGGGCGTGTCCTCCTCAGCCTACCAGATCGAAGGGGCGTGGGCCGCGGACGGCAAAGGCCCCAGCATCTGGGACAACTTCACCCACACGCCGGGCAGCAACGTGAAGGGCAACGCCACGGGAGACGTGGCCTGTGACAGCTACAACCAGCTGAGTGCCGACCTGAACATGCTTCGAGCTTTGAAGGTGAAGGCCTATCGCTTCTCTATCTCCTGGTCTCGGATTTTCCCGACGGGGAGAAACAGTTCTGTCAATCACCAAGGTGTCGATTATTACAACAGGCTGATCGATGGCTTGGTGGGAAGCAACATCTTTCCGATGGTGACGCTGTACCACTGGGACCTGCCCCAGGCCCTGCAAGACATCGGAGGCTGGGAGAACGCGTCCTTGATTGAGTTGTTTGACAGCTACGCAGACTTTTGTTTTCAGACCTTTGGCGACAGGGTCAAGTTCTGGATGACCTTCAACGAGCCCACCTACCAGGCGTGGCTGGGCTACGGCTCAGGGGAGTTTCCCCCGAATGTGAAGGAACCAGGCTGGGCACCTTACAGGATTGGCCACGCACTCATCAAAGCTCATGCCAGAGCCTACCACACGTACGATGAGAAGTACCGGCCAACGCAGAAGGGGGTCATCTCCCTGAGCCTCAGTGCACACTGGGCAGAGCCCAAGTCGCCCGAGCTCCCGAGGGACGTGGAGGCGGCTGACCGGACGCTGCAGTTCTCGCTGGGCTGGTTCGCCCACCCCATCTTCCGAAACGGGGACTATCCCGAGGCCATGAAGTGGAAAGTGGGGAACAGAAGTGAACTACAGCACTTGGCCTCGTCCCGCCTGCCAAGTTTCACCGAGGAGGAGAAGAGGTACGTCAGGGGTACGGCCGATGTGTTCTGCCTCAACACCTACTCCTCCAGGATCGTGCAGTACACAACACCGAGGCTAAACCCGCCCTCCTACCGAGATGACCAGGAGACGATCGAGGAGGAGGACCCTTCGTGGCCGGCCACAGCGCTGAACAGAGCTGCGCCCTGGGGGATGCGGAGGCTGCTCAACTGGGTCAAGGAAGAGTATGGTAACATCCCCATTTACATCACCGAAAATGGGGTGGGGCTGGAAAATCCGAAGGTGGAAGATACCGATCGGATATTCTACCACAAAACCTACATCAATGAAGCTTTGAAAGGTATGTGAGGGTTCATTCCCCCCTTACAAAATCTTCCAATATCCACATGTCATGTGCCTGAAATGATTTGGCAGAGTAGATTACAAACCGCCAGCAAGGATAAGTCTTATGTGCTAACTCCATTATTCTTTCCCTGTCTGGGGTTACATTTCCCTTTGGGAATCTGAAAAAAGCTATGGTCGTCTCCCCAAATGTACACACATGCAATCCCCATAAGAAAATTTTTATGAGTCCATTCATCTATTACTGAACAACTACTGTTGGACAAGTTTTACTCTAAATCATAGGGAAACAGTAGTGAACAAAATAGATAACTTTTTGCTGATATGGAGCTTATATTCTGACTATTGGCCCGGTGCACAGATTTGTGCACATTGAGAGGAAATTAATTAGAAGGTGGCAGGTGGTGCGGGACCGAGAAAGTCAGGCCACACCTGGGGTGGCACTGCAGCTCGAAGGGTGTCTGCGGAGTGAGTGGAGTGCCTCCAGCAGGTGGGGTCCCTCAGCCTGGCCTACAGGGATCAGGCTGAAATAGGCTCTCTGACATTCCCTGAGGGGTCCTGGATTGTAAGAGGGCAGTTCTCGAGTGAGGCACCCTGGAATCAGGCTCCCTCCTCTCTGCTTCTGGGGAACATCACCCAAGAACCACCACTGCCAAGTCACCACAACTCGGCAGCTCCTGTGTTGAGTGTGTGCCCTCTGGTGGTCAGAGAGCATCATAGCTACTGGTCAGACGGCAGCTTAGCCTTTTATATATACAGATGGGTTCCATGCAACCCCAGAGGACGAAACTGTACTTGTGTTTTGTTTTTTTTTTGTTTTTTTTTTTGTGTTTCGTGTCTAAAGTGGGCTGAGACTCTTGAATATGAAGCACATCCCTTTACCCCAACAAAATAATTTGATTTTACAAAGATCAGTCATTAATACTTGTTTGGGGGACATGAGTGCGGGCAAAGAAACAAAGACACGCAGATGATCTGCCCGCCAGGGACACGTTACCTGTGTGTACACGTTGATGGTTAGGACGACTGTCTTGAGCTGAGAGGCCAGTACGTGGCTGGGCTTCTTGGGGCCCCTGCCCGATGGGATAAAGCTCTCCTCTTTCCTCGCGATGTTCCCAGCCTACAGGCTCGACGGCGTAGACCTTCGAGGGTACGCCGCGTGGTCCCTGATGGACAGCTTTGAGTGGCTGAATGGTTACACAGTCAAGTTCGGGCTGTACCATGTTGATTTCAACCACACGAGCAGGCCTCGCACGGCCAGAGCCTCCGCCAGGTACTACACGGAGGTCATCACCAACAACGGCATGCCGCGGCCCCCGGAGGACGAGTTTCTCTACGGGCAGTTTCCCGAGGGCTTCCTCTGGAGTGCGGCTTCCGCTGCGTATCAGGTGAGGAGCGCAGGGCAGTCGGCAACATCTGTTGCACACCTACTGTGCGCCAGGCTCGCGGCTCAGTGCTGGGAAGGGCCAGGTGAGCAGGGGGTTTTCATAGACTGTGGGAGGGAAGTGAGGGATGCCGTCAGGGGAATCATGGAGGACCTCTTCCCAGATGGTCTGGGCTCTTCCCACCCCCAAACCCAGGCAGACCAGCAGTGACAGGGCTGTGCTGAGGTGGGTGTTCGCAGGCGAGAAGGAGCAGGTGGAGCTGGGCAGACACACTTAGGCTAAGGCGTGAATATGAAGATTCTCTGCTGGGTGCTTGTCTCACCTGGTCTCCTCCAAGCAGGAAACATGGCTGTCATGTTTTTTTTGTTTTTCTAGAGTCACCAAAGAATGGGTCATCGCTGCCATGGGAAGGGGCATGCGATTTGGCCTGAGGTTATCCAGAGACAGGCGGTTTTATTTTGTTTGTTTGTTTTTTCTGATGTCCTACCATCCTACCATCACCTTATACATGCCAGCTGAAGCTTACTCATGCAGAAAATATGAGGGTTTTGCCTTTTCCCCAGAGAAATAAAAGATGACAAGCAAAGAGTGCCTTGCTCAGGCCTTCGGTTGCAGGCCCCTGGTTGACATCGTCTTTGTTTTCTCCGCTACAGGAGGGGCTGTGTGCGCTCGGGGTGAGGGCCGGGCAGGGTCAGTGGGATGAGCTGGCCTGGCTGGGAGTGCCCAGCCCTCGGGTTTTCCTGGACGGCTGTAGCTGCTGAAAACGTGTTCGAGGTGGGCGCGTGTTAGCAGCCCCCAGATGCCCACGCCACCAGGCTGTGAATGGAGTCTCGGGGCACGTTCTGCCACACCCAGACACGTATCAGCCAGACACACAGAAACCGTTCACATAGCCTATCGTGTGGGCCGGAGGAAGCCCTGTGCGTGGTCCCGTCAGGTGCTCTGGCCAACACCTCACATGAAAGGGTCACTGAGGAAATGCCCAGGCTCCCGAGGCAGGAACCTTCCCTCAGGCTCGGACTCCCGGGGGAGGACCCCAGCGTGGCCTGGACGGCGGTTTGGGTGGGCAGTTCTGTTGTGGGCTCTCCTGTGCACGGTGGGGTGTCCAGCAGCACCCTGCTGGGCTCTGCCCACAGGTGCCAGCAGGCTTCTTCCCTAGTTGTCACAATCAACGCTGTCTCCAGGCAATGATCAATGCCTCCGCTGGGTGAGACCCACGGCTCCCAGAGTCACAGCGGGGCACAGGAGGGGACACAGGCAGGCCTGGGAGGGTCTTACCCCTGTCCGTACACGGGCGGGACAGTCTTGGAAACATATTAGTAACCACGTCTTGAATGATTAAATTGGTGTCAGGGAGCAGTCAGCAGGCACGTTCCCCCATCTGTGTCACCGACTATTCTAATGAGCCAAGTGTGGGATGTGAATCGAGAAAGGATGAGCTGTGCCTACAGTGTAGGCTTCCTGATTAGATGCCATCTGACTGGATTTTTTTTTTTTTTAAAAAAACACCTTTTCTTTGGAAATCTGTTTAAACAGAGAAAAGTTGCAAAAACAGTAGAGGACTCCCATGTACCCTTTCCTACACTCCTCAACCAGTACCATTTGCCGTATTTTCTCTCTGCATGTGCATGTGTGTGTGTGCACAATATATATATATGAAACTGACTTTATCACCTGAATGAGCAGGTGTCTACCAGGTTTCTCTACCATAAAATTAAGAAGTATTTTGTAGTTGTAAGTGATTTAGGGGGAGCTACGTGGAGACTATACAAATATCCTGTTTCTCATCAAGTTTCAACCACTAGCTTTAGCAAATGTTGGTAATTTTGGCCTGAATCAGTTATCATTATGATAGTGGACAAATGGTGATTTTCTAATTTCATCATTCCTTTATTACTAGAAGCCAGTGACTGAAAATTCATGCACCAGGTCCCTCAGCCTGGCCTGCCCCCTCTAACAGTCAAGGAGCCCTCAGGGGTGGGAGGCGACCTGGCGATCAGGGGAAGACGATGCCCCATCGCACCTCTGCTGCTGCCACTGCCGGCAGCACAGGCCTTGGCCGGCCCTGGTTGCCTGAGCCTCGGGCAGCCCTGGGTGACTGGGCAGCTGCCTTCTGAGGCTTGCCTGTGCCTTGGGCAAGCCCTGGGCTGCTGGGGGACTGAGGGGACTGGGGAACTCTGGAGGCAGGCACAGTAGCGGAGCTGAGGGGACTGGGCACCGCCATCTTGTGGCTGTGGGTGCCGCCATATTTGAGGGTGGGACAGTCAATTAGCATATTCCCACCTTATTGGCTGTGGGCGCCACCATCTTTGCGATGGTGTGAGGGTCAATTAGCATATTTCTTCTTTATTAGAAAGGATGTGGCATTCAACACATAATGTGTTGAGCTTTGCCTTTTATCCTACTTTTATTTTATTTATATATAAATGTGTATTGACATATGGTATCAGTTGGTCTTACGGAGTCCTGTTGTATTCAGTGGGTGGCACTTTTGCTGTCATGTATTTAGATGTTCCAATCGCTCCACATTTTGCCAGGCACAATGCCTTTTGGAGATGCCGTTCTTCTCTGATCACTTCCCTAATTCTTCCCGGCACAAGGTGTTCCAAGTTCATCTTGTACCTCTTCTGCCCAGCCCCGTCATCAGCTATTTCTCTCATGGGCCCTGGTTCCTTGTATTCGACAAGGGCACTTAGAAACCAGATGTGCAGGTCGGACCTCTGGTGAGAGTACCACCCCGCCTTACCAGTCACATAACATCACACCGTGTGTGCCGAAGTGTTCTGAAGTAAAGTCGCACCTGTCAGACTACCTGAGCCTGCAGGGAGGTGTCTGCAGTTGCTTGCAGTCAGTTTCCCCTTAAGATCAGTGGGAGTGGGAGGACCAAGAGAAAGCACCAAGGCAGTGACATGTCCTGACCAGAAACCCTGCCTCCACGCCCGGCATCGCTGGGATTGGTTTGGCCATGACTGGGCTGGGGCTCGTGGCACCGTTCATTCGAACTGTTAGTGAGCACCCACCATACACCAGATGCCGCCACAGTAACTGCTGGGACACAGGATGACAGAATCAGTGCCGTCATACAGTCTGTGGGATGCAGGTGGCAATGGCAGAGATTATGTACGCAAAGCTGCAGGAGTTTAGAACTCAGAGGGAGGCCACCGAAGGCTCCCAGAGGACTAACCTCCTTCTCGGGACTTTCCTGCTCACAGAAAGGGGCCTGTGAGGGCCCAGCTGTCATGACTCAGTGGTTGAGTGTCGACCTATGAACCAGGAGGTCAGGGTTCGATTCCTAGTCAGGGTACATGCCTGGGTTGCAGGCTCGATTCCAGTATGAGACAGGCAGGAGGCAATCAATCAATGATTCTATCTCATTATAATTTTAATCAGCTGCCTCCTGCACACTCCCCAGTGGGCATGTGAATCGAGCCTGCAACCCGGGCATGTACCCTGACTAGGAATCGAACCCTGACCTCCTGGTTCATAGGTCGACACTCAACCACTGAGTCATGACAGCTGGGCCCTCACAGGCCCCTTTCTGTGAGCAGGAAAGTCCCGAGAAGGAGGTTAGTCCTCTGGGAGCCTTCGGTGGCCTCCCTCTGAGTTCTAAACTCAGAGGGAGTTTAGAACTCCCTCTGAGTTTAGAATTCTATCTCATTATCTCATTATAATTTTATAATTTTATAAATTGATTTTTCACAGAGAGGAAGGGAGAGTGAGAGTTAGAAACATCAATCAGAGAGAAACATTGATCAGCTGCCTCCTGCACACCTCCCACCGGGAATGTGCCCGCAACCAAAGCACATGCCCTTGACGGGAATTGAACCCGGGACCCTTCAGTCCGCAGCCTGACGCTCATATCCACTGAGCGAGCCAAACCGGTTAGGTCTCTATCTCATTATTGATGTTTCCATCTCTCCCTCTCCCTCTCTGAAATCAATAATAAATAAGAGAAAGAAAAAAAGAAAAAGAAAGAGAAAAAGGAAGGAAGGAAGGAAGGAAGGAAGGAAGGAAGGAAGGAAGGAAGGAAGGAAGGAAGGAAGGAAGGAAGGAAGGAAGGAGGAGAGGACTGCAGGACTTAATTAGGTTGTGTCTTGTCATCTTGAGATTGAAGGTGCGTGGAGAGAAGATGGCAAAGGACTGAGCATTTGGGACACATTCTCCCACACGCCACTGAAGGTCAGCAACGACGACACGGGAGACGTGGCCTGTGACAGTTACCACAAGATCGCCGAGGACGTGGCCGCCCTGCGGAACCTGGGCGTGTCCCACTACCGCTTCTCCGTCTCTTGGCCTCGCGTCCTCCCGGACGGGACCACCAAGTACATCAACGAGGCGGGACTGCGCTACTACACGCAGCTCATCGACGCGCTGCTGGCCGCCAACATCAAGCCCCAGGTGGGTGGCCCCAGGTGAGGGGGGCAGGGAGGCCTGCCCACGTGGGGGAGCCAGTGGGCCAGAGAGCTCGTTCATCGTTCATCATGTAAACAAAAGCTGTTTTCAGCCAAAACCGGTTTGGCTCAGTGGATAGAGCGTCGGCCGGTGGACTGAGAGGTCTCGGGTTCGATTCCGGTCAAGGGCATGTACCTTGGTTGCGGGCACATGCCCAGTGGGGAGTGTGCAGGAGGCAGCTGATTGATGTTTCTCTCGAATCGATGTTTCTGACTCTCTGTCCCTCTCTCTTCCTCTCTGTAAAAAATCAAAATATATTAAAAAAAAAAAAAACTTTTCAAATTTAGTTGTTAACAAAGTCACGTGAGAAGAGGTCAAAAAGCATGAAGGAGTCTGCAGTGCAGATTTTCCTTCCGTTCAGTTCCTCCTTCTCTGGGCCCAAGTTTGCTAGGTTCTCGTGTCCTTTTGTGGGTAAGAGCCAGTAGATGTGTCTGTGTGTGTATATTTCTTTCCCCTCTTTTCTCATAATGGTAAATACTTGCTTTTTTTTTATTTATGTTTTTATTTCAGAGAGAGGAAGGGAAAGGGAGAAAGACAAAAACATGAAAACAAAGAGAGAGAAACATCAATTGGCTGCCTCCTGCATGTCTCCTACTGGGGATGAGCCCACAACCCGGGCATGTGCCCTGACTGGGAATTGAACCTGGTGCATGGGACGATGTTCAACCACTGAGCCACACCAACTGGGCAAGATACTTGCTTTTATTTAACAACTAGAGGCCCCGTGCATGAAATTCGGGAGAGAAAGGCCACCCCTAAGCACTGCCAGGCTGCTCCTCCCCCGCCAGGGCTCCCCGCAGGCCGCCAGGAAGACGCTCCGGACACGGTGGTGATGACCCTTCTGTCTCCGTCCTCCTGGGACCCTCAGGGCCTCAGACCCTCAGCAGTGGGTCCAGGCAGGTTCTGATCCGAGAACCACCGTGGCTCACGCTGAAGAGATGCCGGCCTCATGCCCTGGGCCTCACAATCGCGTCACGAAGTGGAGGCCTTAGCCCCTGAGCCCGGGACAGTAGATGTACAGCTGGGACTCGAACCCAGGCTTCTCCACTCAGCACTGTGCCCGCCCCCTGCTGCCAAGGACCCATGGAGCCTCCTGGTCCGATCTTCCGTTCTGGGTGCCGGCGGCTCTGGTGGCTGCCTGTGCAGAGCAGGCTGACGGGCCGGCTGGTCTCCCTCGCCCGCAGGTGACCATCTACCACTGGGACCTGCCCCAGGCCCTGCAGGACGTGGGCGGCTGGGAGAACGAGACCATCGTGCAGCGCTTCAGAGACTACGCCGATGTGCTCTTCCAGAGGCTGGGTGGCAAGGTCAAGTTCTGGATCACGCTGAACGAGCCCTTCGTCATCGCTCTGCAGGGCTACGGCTATGGGACGGCGGCCCCAGGTGGGCCCGGGCGCGGGCAGCTGGGTGGGCTTTCCTGGCCCCCGGGGGGGGGGGGGGGGGGGGAGACTGAAGTCGGGCGCTTTGGAGGAGGGGCCGGGAGAGCGCAGGGCAGGGCCTCGGCTCCTGCCGCAGCGGCTTCCCCTCCACACCCCTCGGGCTCAACCTGGATTTCACGTGGGCGCCTCCCGGGGCTGCTTTCTTTGCTCTGAGACCGACGTTCCTCGGAGGGGAAGCTCCGCAGTCGGGAACGTGATCTGATCAGTGTGGGAAGAGGCAACCCCTCCCCCTGTTCAGGTCCACAGTCTGTTTCCTGCGACCCCCAGGCCCCTGTTTTGGGTAACTGGTTTGGCTGCCCTGAACCAGCAGGAGGCTGCCCGGGGCCTTCCTGCCCGGGTTCTGCTGCAGGCGGGCCGGTCCCCTGGGGGGCCACACGTACATCCCATGTAGGCGATTCGTTACTTTTCTTTATTTTTCTTTATTTTTTTAATATATTTTATTAATTTTTTACATAGATAGAAAGCTAGAAACATCGATGAGAGAGAAACATCTTTACTTTTCTAAGATGACAAACCTTTTTGTTCCCAAACACATTTTGACCCCAAAAGCTCTGATAGGGACTGTGGGCCTGTCCTGCCCCTCCAGAGCCATCCGCTCACCTCTCCTCGAGTCCTGAGCTTAGGAGCGAATCTGCGCTCATCTCTGTGACCCTGTCGTCACGTGTGAACGCTGGGAGGTCGCAGGGGGCCTCGGGGTCATTACCAGAGGCAGCTCCCGTGGGACCTTGGCTGGCGCTTTGGTTTTCCGTTCCTTCGGCCCGAGAGGTGGCCTCAGACCATCGGCTCTCAAGGATTCTGCCGGCTGCTTCCATCAGCTGTATTCTCCAACTCTGCCTCCACAGCGGGCTCCCCGGTGCCCGGTGTCGGCGCCCACCCATGGCGGCTCCTCCGGGCACTTTGCCTGAGGCCCGTGGCACTCTGGGGGGTGGGGGTGGGAGAGCAGAACCCAACACCCATCCGGCGCCTTGTCTGTGCGGACACGGCTGCCGGGCAGACACGCACTGTTCCACTTCCTTCTCCCGGGAAGAAGCTGCAGGGCTGAAGCCCTCGCCCAAAGCCTCACGCCGCCAGCAGGCAGTGGAGCCAGGATTTAAGTTCCATCCCCCCCCCCCCCCCCCCCCAAAACATGTAGTGGACATCCTGGCAGAGTGGCGCTCAGGGCCACATTCCCTCCGTGCTGACATCCGTGTGTGTGTCCAGGCATCTCCTTCAGGCCCGGCACCGCCCCCTACATCGCCGGCCACAACCTGATCAAGGCCCACGCCGAGGCCTGGCACCTGTACAACGACGTGTACCGCGCCCAGCAAGGCGGCCTCATCTCCATCACCATCAGCAGTGACTGGGCGGAGCCCAGGGACCCCTCCAACCAGGAGGACGTGGAGGCGGCCAGGAGATACGTCCAGGTCTGTCTGCCCTCCGGGCATTGCTTTTACGCGTCCCCGTTTCCTGTCGTGATCTCATGGGGGTAGAATCAGATCGCAAAACGAAGCGTGAGGGTGCAGGCCTTGTTCTGAACGTGGTAATATCACCTAAGCTTGTTGGACCTTCGTTTTCTCACCTGTGCAGTGGAGAGGCCCTACTTACCTCATAGGTTTGCTGAGGTGAAACTTCTGTGGGTCTGTTATCTTTTAAGTCTCACAGATGATCTGTACCCATAGTCCTTGCTGGGGGTAACATTGGCTTGAAGCTATCACATAGAAATCCTCTTCAGTGTCTGGTTTGACTACAGTACAGAACTAGGCTGCAATGCCCCATCCAACCTCTAGGTGTCACCGCCCGACCTTACTTCCCCACCCTAAGGATTCCATAAATTGGGAACTTCAGACTCCACGAAACTCGTGAGTGCCCCCAACGTCAGGAGTTTAACATAAGGACATGCATCTCTTGGTCATGGAATTTTGCTCCAAGGAAGTAGAGAGACTAGTAGGCAGATGCCAACAACACAACTCACCCCTCCTTCAGCCTGGGCCCTGACAAGAGGCGATAGAAAAGAACGCCCACATCGCCCAGTTTTTCTCTGGCTCCTGTTAGTGACTCTGAAGGGTGAGAGGGCACCCTCGCCCAGGTTCGCCTCAGGAAGCATTTGGCTCTGAGGAGGAACCCCCAACTGCAGCTCTCAGAGGGGACACCAGGGCCTGCGTTTGTCAAAACTCTTCACAAGAAAATTTGACAAAGGCAGTCAAATTAGTAAATGAAAATAAAAGCTTAATTTTCTTGTTTGCTAGCCAGCTTGGCGGAAAGCATTAAAACAGAATCAATGCATCCCTCGTTCCAGATATATTGAATTAGAGCAATCATTTGTTTTCTGAAATCCAAAGCCCAAACCTCAGGACACGTTCGTCTCGTTAGATTGAGACGCCTGCTGGCTGACTGTGGAACTGCAGCCTAGAACTGGGACACACCCTCTGGTAAAAATCAGCTTTTCAGAAGGGCCCCAGTTACCTCAGAACACGGGGAAGCCCCTTTACCAGAGTGTGGTCCAGGCCGCATCTCAGATGGGAAGGCTCCCCCCACCCCACCACGCGGGCATCAGCGGCAGGTGAGGGGAGGAAGTGGGAGACAAGAAGCCTGTCAGGAGCCCAGCCTCTAGGCCTCATCAGGAGAACAGATGGGAAGGCTCCCACTCTAGGACTGCGGATCCGGTGCCCAGGAGACTCCATCCTCGGCCCGGGCACGGGACCGCCTGGCAGCTCAGCCCTCCCCAGGAAGTGTGTGTGAGCCTTAGGTGTGATGGGTGAGCGGGACCGCAGCCCGGAGGCCGGTGTCTCCCTCCTCTCCCGCAGACCTAAGCTCAGTGCCTCTCCCTTCCAGCTGCCCTGAGCGGGATGGCAGCTGACAAAACTGCAACATGCAAACAACCACAGAGATGAAGGTTTAAGAATGGGATTTGGAACAAGCAAGCAGAACAGAAGCCAACTCAGAGATATAGAGAATATTTTGGTGCCTGCCAGATGGGAGGGGGCTTGGGCAATGGGTAGAAAATGTGATGGGATTTAGAAGTACGAATTGGTAATTGCAGAATAGTCATGGATGTAAAGTACAGCTTAGGAAATGTAGCCAATAATATCCTAATAACGAAGAATGGTGCCAGATGGGTATTGGATTTATCAAAGTGATCATTCACAAGTTGTACTAGAGGCCTGGTACACGGAATTCACCTACGGAGGCAGGGTGTTCCCTCAGCCTAGCCTGCACCCACTCCAATCCGGGACCCCTCGAGGGATGTCTGACTGCCAGGATCCGGCCTAAACTGGCAGTCAGACATCCCTCACAATCCTGGACCACTGGCTCCTAACCGCTCACCTGCCTGCCTGCCTGCCTGATCACCCCTAACTGCCCCCCCCCCCCCCAGCCTAATCACCTCTGCCTGCTGCCTGATCGCCACCAACTGCCCCCTGGCCGCTGGCCTGGTCGCCCCACCCACTTGCTGCCCGGTCATTTGGTCACCCCTCACTAACCCCCTGCCGGCCAGGTCGCACTGCACAGCCTGTTAGCTCATCCATTCGGTCACTCAGGCTTTTATATAGAGAGATAAATGTCTAATCATGGAGTTGTACAACTGAAACATTGTACATCAACTGTGACTGGAAAACAAAAAGTTTTAATTTCTTTCTCTTGAAATTGATTTCAGAGAGTAAGGGAGAGGGAGGGTGGGTAAGAACATCAATGAGAGAGAATCATTGATGGGCTGCCTCCTGCATGCCCCCTATTGGGGACTGAGCCCTGATTGGAAATTGAACTGTGACCTCCTAGCTCATAGGTTGACACTCAACTACTGAGCCACACTAGCCAAGCTAAATGTCTTTGTTTTTTTTTTCTAATAAAATAAAATGGCAACTACTAAATACCTAAAAAAAGAAAAGAAAAAGGATGGCCCAGCTGGTGTTGCTCAGTGGTTCAGCGTCAACCCATGAACCAGGTCATGGTTTGATCCCCAGTCAGAGAACAAGCCTGGATTGCAGCCTGACCCCCCAGTGTGGGGTGTGCAGGAGGCAGCCAATCAATGATTCTCTCTCATCACTGATGTTTCTTTCTCTCTCTCCTTCATCTCTGAATTCAATAAAAGCATATATTTTTTAAAAGATGGATACGGAAAGAATGTGGGGTGGGGGGAGTGTCAGGGGCACACTGCTAAAGCTGAGGCTGCCTGTCCCACCCCCACCTGCAGTTCATGGGAGGCTGGTTTGCACATCCCATTTTCAAGAATGGGGATTACAATGAAGTGATGAAGACCCGGATCCGCGACAGGAGCTTGGCCCAAGGCCTCAACAAGTCTCGGTAGGTCCTGGTGCCCACACACTCAGCCAGGAGGGGAGAGGGGAGGGAGTCTGGTCTGTGGGACCAAACGGAAGCTCCTGGGTGGAAGTACAGGGGTGAGAGCGTGGCTGTTGGAGTCAGAGGGGCGAGTCTGAGGAAAGTTCCTGTATCTCTGACTTCCTGCTTGCTGGGAAGATTAAACATGATTGTGCATGTGAAGCTCTCAGCTTAGGTCCTAGCACTGCTATGTGCTTGACAAAAGGCAGTTGCTAGTATTATTATTATTACTTTTTTAAAACGCCGCGGGACAAATTGTTAAAAATCGTGACTGTCCTGCAAAAAGCGGGACGTCTGGTCACCTTACCATAGAGCCCAGCTGTAAGGATTAAGTAATCCAGTCCCCACCCTTACACACATCCTGGCCTGGCTAGGGCAAGTCCTGCTAAGCAGGCTGTGCCTACGGGTCTGGTCAGCCAATCTGGTCTCAAATAAGCAAGTGAGCACTCCTGCCCATGAGCATAGCTTTACTGATGCCAGGTCAGAGTCTGTGTGAACAGGAGCCTCCGAGGCAGGGTCCTCACGTGGCCGACACACCACCCTCATCACTCCAGGGAATTCTATTCCCCAACTTGTTGATTCAGCGAAAGCTCAGAAGATGAGATCGTGACAAGGCAGGGCACCCGCTGAGCTGGGCATTGGCAGTGAAGAGCATTTGGGAGAACAGAGGGCATTCATTCCATCCAAGGGGAATGGTGTGAGCACCAGCCCAGCGGGAGCAATGAGTTGACCAAAGGGGCATGTGCAGTTGGTGGGAGAGGGGTATTGGCCTGGCGGCCATGGAGGCGGAGGCCACACGGTGAAGGGCCTGGAGGCCAGGTAGAGGGGCTCAGCTTTGATGTCAGGGGCCCTGAGGCCGCTGCTGGCTCCTGGGCAGCCCCTCCCAGCCCTCTCAGAGACCTCAAGGACGGAGGGCTTTGCTCCCCGACGTTAATGACAGCAGGAAGGTCAAGATGAAGGTGTCAGCCGCCTAGTAGGGCAATCCCCAGGCAACCCTAAACCAGCAGCACCGAGTCTGCCTGTCAGAGGCACCTGTTGGCAGTTGGGCTGAGAGGAGCCTATATGTGTTGTATGCAAGCACATGCTAATCCAATTCTATAGAAAAGTCTCAGAGAACATGGAAAACGCTCGAGCAAATGCTTGCTTTACACAAGCGTAGTAGTGAGATCATGTGAGCAGAACAATTCAAATCTCCAAAGTTTCAAAAAATTTAATCTGTAAAAGTATTTCCCCTACTAATAAGGATAGACTTTGGAGAAAAGAGGCAAATATAAGGAAACCACAACAAAAGCAGTAGTTAGGGCAGATTATGGAAATACAAATTATAACAGATAAAACCGTAAGGGTTAGTGTTAAGGTATATGCCTCAGACATGTCCTTGATCTCAAAATCTACTGGAGATGGTAAATGTCAGAAGTTGCATGTTAATTTTTGAAGGAAATAAAAAAATGTGTATCTGTGACTGTATGTCCCAGACCGGGAGGTTTATAAAAGAGTAGCTTTTACTTTCATTTGCCAATAGGAGGAGGGTCCTGTAACGGGACAGGAGGTGGGTGCAGGGGGTGACAGGGCGGTAGGAGCAGCCTCCGTACCTCCCGCAGCCCTGGCAGGGCCTCTCCTCGCCCCTGGCCCTGCACCTGTCACCTGTAGTTTACAGAGGCCAACCCTGCCCAGCACATTCTCCTCCCAAGTATGGCTGCTCCTGAAGCCCGCCCCTTCTCGCTTCCCTCCCGGCAGGCTGCCTGAGTTCACGGAGAGTGAGAAGAGGAGGATCAATGGCACCTACGACTATTTTGGGTTCAATCACTACACCACTGTCCTGGCCTACAATCTTGACTATGCCTCTTGGGTCTCTTCCTTTGATGCAGACAGGTAAGATCCAGCAGGGCCCCCAAGAACAGACTCTGGAAAAGACAGTGGCCCCTCTGCCCACCTGTTGTGTGAAGGCCTGCGTGGCCCCGGAGAACCGCCTCTGCAATGAGTCCTGTCTCCGGACACTCCCAATCAAACCCCAGCAGCCTGACAGCGGCACACTGGCTCTCCACACGCCTCCCGATAGTCATGCCTGGAGTTCTTCAATAACTTGAGAAAAACCTTTTTCTTCCCTTTTCCTTTTTTTTTTGTCAAATTTGTTTTACTTATTAGATGATGTATTTCAGTTAAAATAACAATAAGATCTTTTCGTTTCCTTTTCAGAGTAATGGCCAAAGTATTATTTTTGTATTACACGAATAATATATGTTCACAGTGGAAACACTAGAAAGCAAGAATAGGTGATTCTTTAGTTTTCATCCTCACCCAAGGACATATTCCCATTGATTTTTAGAGAGAGTGAAAGGGAGGGGGAGAGAGAGAGAAACATCAATGTGAGAGAAGTACATGGATTAGGTGCCTCCGCCCCCACCCCACCCAGGGTCGGGGATCAAGCCTGCAAATGAAGTGCACGCCCTTGACGGGAACCGAACCCAGTACCGGCCAAAGCTCTATCCATTGAGCCAAACCTGCTAGGGCGGATAAGAAATTCTTGTGTTATTTCAGAAGTGTATATCTGTATATGTATATTCACATTACATGGTTTGTATAGTATATATTTATACATGTATTTACTTGTTAGAAAAAAACAAACACAGGATTAGCCCAACCAGTGTGGCTCAGTGGTTGAACATCAACCTAGGAACCAGGTCGTCACAATTCGATTCCTGATCAGGGCAAATGTCTAGATTGTGGGCTCAATCCCCAGCCTGCAAGGGGGGCGTATAGGAGGAAGCTGATTGATGATTTTCTCTCATCATTGATGTTTCTATTTCTCTCACCCTTTCCCTTCTTCTCTGAAATAAAAAAATATGTATATTTTTAAAAACTAGAATTATATGTATATATACTATTTTGTTTCAATTCTTAATTTTATTTTTAAAAATATTTTTTATTGATTTTTTACAGAGAGGAAGGGAGAGGGATAAAGTAAGAAACATCGATGAGAAACATCAACCAGCTGCCTCCTGCACGCTCCCTATTGGGGATGTGCCCATAACCAAGGTGCATGCCCTTGACCGGAATCGAACCTGGGACCCTTCAGTCTGCAGGGCAATGCTCTATCCACTGAGCCAAGCCAGTTAGGGCCATTTCAATTTTTTTAAAAAGCTATGTTTTTATTGGTTTTAGAGAGAGGAAGGTAGAGAAACATCTCTCCACTGCCTCTTGAATGCCCCCTACTAGGGATCAAGCCTGCAATCTAAGCATGTGCCCTGACCAGGAATTGAACCGGGGACCTCTCGGTGTAGGGGACAATGCCCAATCAACTGAGCCACACTGGCCAAGGCTGCTCGTTTTCAAGTTATTTATTATTATTATTATTATTATTATTATTATTATTATATAACTACAGGTCGAATGCACAAAATTTGTGCAAGGGGCTCAGCCCTCGCAGCTCCAGCTGCCTCAGCTGGCCCTGGCAGCCCCTCGCAGCCCTGGTTTCATCAGGATAGTCATTTGGCTGTTTGGTCTAATTAGCATCATGGCTCTTTATTATATAGGAATTAAACTTAGAGAGAGGAAGGGAGAAAGATTTGCTGTTGCATTTATTTTTTTAAAAAAATATATTTTTATTGATTTCAGAGAGGAAGGGAGAGGAGGGAGATAGAAACATCAATCATCGGTTGACTGCCTTCTGCATGCCCCGACCGGGAACCGAACTGTGACCTCCTGGTTCATAGATTGACTCTCAACCACTGAGCCACGCTGGCTGGGCTCCACTTATGTACACATTCACTGGCTGATGCTTGTATGTGCCGACAGGGGATAGAACTAGCAACCTTGGTGTACTCAGACGGCGCTTAAGCAACTACCACGCAGAGCTATATTCTGTTCCTTTTCTATCAAGCATCCTTCCATCCCAGTAGTGTGAATCTTGTCCAGGTTTTTTCTTTGAAAACAAATGTGTACACCCCACTGTCCTGAGTCCACCATTCAGGCTTGGCAAAGGGGACTGAGAAGACCCCTGCTGGTCCCCAGTCAGGCACCCAGGGGACTCTCGCTGCCTCACTGGTCCCCGCACCCTCCACAGGGACTCGTGCTCAGCTATGGAATGCCCCCATTCACTCTCAGCTGAGCAAGATAAATCCAGTTGTTGGTAAAACTAAATGGTAGGGTTTTGTTTTTTTTAAAAATTTGGATGTAAGTTAAATAACTATTTGAAATGTTTGACTCAAGACAGTTGAGTTTCCGTGCCTCCTACAGCAGGCGCCCCTTTGGCACTACCTGTTGCCCTCTCTTCTCTGCCACTGGAGAGAGGGGCAGGATCTGGGGCACTTGAAGCAGGTCTCAGCCTACCACCTCCTGTCCTCACCCACAGGGGCTGGTGCCTGTGGCACTGACCAGACGTAGGAGACTCAGGGAGGCCCGTCCTCTGAAGACGTGACACCTGCACCCACCGGAGACTGGGAAACCCAGCGTGAGGTGTGGGGCCTGTGGAGGGCTGTCCGTGAGACCGTCCCGCTGCACACGTGGAGAGCTGGCACAGAGCTAGCGTGGCTGGTCCGGTTACACCAGCACTAAGCAGTGAATCTAGAGCTTACGGAGAGAGAATTGGGGTGATTTGACTCTTCTGGGTTCACTTAAGACTCTCACGACTAGGCAAAAACTTAAGGTTCCTCCTAGTATAAATCCTGCTTTGATTTTTGTGCAAACAAAGGGCCTCTGGGGATCTATAAGACAGAGCTAATCTGTGTTTGAACTGGCAGGGGAGTTGTCTCCATCACAGATCGCTCTTGGCCAGACTCCGGCTCCTTCTGGCTGAAGATGACACCCTTTGGCTTCAGGAGGATCCTGAACTGGTTAAAGGAGGAGTACAACAACCCTCCCATCTACGTCACAGAGAACGGAGTGTCCCAAAGGGGAGAAACCAGCCTCAATGACACTGCGAGGATCTACTACCTCCGCAGCTACATCAACGAGGCACTCAAAGGTATGGCAGGCCCACCCTCCGCACGTGCACCTCGCACTGTGGAAACACCTGCATTCAGGGTGGTTTTGTATCCAGGAACCCCATGAGAAAGATGAGGCTCCTTACTCCTGTTGGGTTAGCCGCTCTGCTTTTTTCCCTTCCTAGACTTAAGCTCAGCAGGCAGACAAGTGGCCTGAATCAAGACCTGAGCTCTCCGTATCCTCACTGATGTCTGAGGCCCCTGAGCAGCAGAGCCCTCCTGAGGACGGTTTGGGCAGGGCTAGCAGGAATGGGCGGAGGGGACTGTCTGAGGGTCTTTTGTTCCTGAAGCAGAAGTTTGAGGTCACCAGCTCAGCAGAACTTGGGAGGAGACTATGACAAGGAAACAGTAACACGGGTGAAAGAGAAGGAGCAATGCAGCTGTGAAAACAAAAGATGAGGAAATCCAATTCCAGCTAAAATCTTTCCCAAGGGCCACTTACTAGTATTTTCATGGAGAGGAGCACTGCTCTACCCATGTTCCTGATGCCCTTCAGGGCTGAGCCTTTCTAGAAAAATGCTGATGGCTCTGCAGCTCCAGCCAGAGGACCAGATAACTAACGCTGCATGCAGTGCCCGGGCAGCTTTCTCAAAGAGCTAAAGAAAAGCCGGCCTGGCCTGGCCTGGCCTGCACACGGGGCTGTGGGAAGCTCTGGGCATCGGCCTCGGCAGGCCTGGGGGGAGGACGTCTTGTGCAGGAAGCTCATGCCAGCCTCTCTCTGGACAGCTGTGCGGGATAAGGTGGACCTTCGAGGATACACTGTTTGGAGTGTGATGGACAACTTTGAATGGGCCACGGGCTTCGCAGAGAGGTTTGGTCTGCATTATGTGAACTACACTGACCCTTCTCTGCCGAGGATTCCCAAAGCGTCAGCCAAGTTCTACGCCTCTATCACCCGGTGCAATGGCTTCCCCGACCCAGCCGCAGGCCCGCACCCTTGTCTCCAGCCAGAAGGTGAGATGCAGCTCTGGGCGAGACTAAAGCAGAGGGAGGGGCTGAGGGGGCCTTTTCCAGGCTATTTTCTTCAGGTTTATTACCCTCCTCTCAGCCTTTCCCTTCCCTTCATTCATCAGCTAGCATTTATTTTATTGAATGTTCGTAGGGTGGAACGAGGCAATGCTACATCTAGAAACTAGGTCCTGCTCTGGGAATAAATAGCCCGTCTAGAGTCTCATCTCAGCCCTGCCATTCACCTGCCGTGCACCTTAGGCAGGAAGCGAGGCCAGAGTCTGGGCTGATGCAGGATCACACACGGTGCCTGACAGTGCAAGATGACAGGATTTGTGAATGACTGAAAACATATGGACTACTATGCACAAACATTAGACAATTACCTAATTTAGATTATACTCTGAATTGCTGATAGAGATGATTAAAAATAAATCTCCTTGACTTCATCCAGAGGCTCACCTGCCAGTGACAGGGACGTGCCCTCAGCAAGGCGCTCAGGCGGGCTCCTGTGCCAGGGACCTAGCGGGGGCTTAACACAGGTTAGCACGGGCCATCACCACGCGGGTGCGAGTGTGAGCGCCCTCTGTTGTCCTCTCCTAGATGCCGGACCCACCGTCAGTCCCCAGAGAGAGGAGGAGGTCCGGTTCCTGGGCCTGGCCCTGGGAGCCACCGAAGCCCAGACCGCGCTGTACACGCTCTTCTCTCTCATGCTCCTCGGAGCCTGCGCCGTGGCCTTTCTGTCCTACAAGTACTGCAAGCGCTCCAAGCAGCGGAACACACCGCCAGGCCAGCAGGAGCTGCGCCCTGCTTCTTCGTTCTGACCCCAGGCACCGCCTCCTCCAGTTCTGCGAAACAGGCCCAGTTTCTCTGTACACCTTTACCACCCACAAAACCCCCGAGGAGCGCCCCTTGTGCCCGCACCGGAGTGCTCACAAAGGCCTCCTGCAAGGATTTCAGCCCCTGATTAAAAAGGGAATGTCTGCATCTCGCCCCAGGATCAGAAACTCATTTGGGCATTAGAAGGCCCTGCAGCTGGCTCTTGTGCAACTGTGCAGGCACTGAACTCACCCAGTGGTTCTGTGGGCCAGTAATCCGGGCAGTTCCAAGCTGAAGAGATTTTAAAGATAGAAATAGGAGAGAAAACCAATCCTTTTTCTAAGAAATCAACTCCATTGCATAGATGGACTAGTGTCATCTCCTGCCCTCTCTTCAAACTCCCTTCCAGCCTCATATCTTGTGTGTCTCCGAAAATAATGGAGGCAGCGAGTAAGGACCCACGCATGGCCTTCAAGGCCTATGTGATCTCACCTGGTTCGCTTAGCCCCGTGGTCGGCAAACTGGAGCTCGCGAGCCACATGCGGCTCTTGGGCCCCTTGAGTGTGGCTCTTCCACAAAATACCATGGCCTGGGGCGAGTCTGTTTTGAAGAAGTGGCACTGCCCTAGAACATCTGGCTGTAAAAACCAGAGAGGATTTTGTCTGAATGAGACAGGGCTGCTGGAGACTTAGGTGTGCCTCTTAAAGGGATAGGGGGCACGCACAGACTTACCCGCACACAAATTTAATATGGGGCCGCAGCACAGGAGCCGAAGCTCAAAAAGTGCCAGGTACATATAAGAACTAAGTTGACTTACTTCAGAGAAAGGGTGTAAGGGGCAGGAGAAAGCCTTCATTGTTCCTTTGCCCAAATGCTCCTCTCCTGCAGCCAAGTAGGCTCAGACAAGCGCCCACTCTGTTTTCCATTAACCAGCTGGGCTCACACGGGCCACCACACCCTACTCACGCACCCTGACAAGTCTCTTCCGGCAGCTTTTCCGCACAAATGGCCTGCTTCCATCAGCACTGAGGACTTTCCCAAAATCTAAGGGCCACAAACCCCAAACACGCAGTGGCTGGCCTCAGCGTGTCTTGTAGCTCTTGCTATGTAGCTTGTCCAGCACAAGCAACGAGTGGTCTCCACTTGCACTGCTACTCCCACCGGGTGGTCCCAACCACATGCAGCAGCCAGTTTTGGCATAGACTGTAGCTTCAACTAAGCGGCCCCAAGCCTGATACAAGAGGCAGCTCACCCTGGCCTGCCCTGCAGTCCCAAGAGGCTTCAGAACCAACACACGTGGTGGCCAGCTTCACACCACACCAGAGCACCACCACCGAGCCCCACAAACAACAGTCCTGGAGGGCCTGGCACCTCAGCCCTGCTACAGCCACTCCTGCTCTGTGGTGTCAGCCCACACACAGTCTATTGTAGTCACAGCCTAAAGGTCAACCCCACCCACTAATGCGCCAACATTAATCAAGGCTCAATTACAAGATAAGGGCACACTCAACCCACACAAGGGACACCCACGGAGCAACTGGCTCAGGTGAATAGGGAGACTGCACCATCGGACCCCACAGACCTCCTACTGCATAAGGCCACTCTTCTAAGACCAGGAGACGTAGCAGCTCTACCTAATACACAGAAACAAACGCAGGGAGGCTGCCAAAATGAGATAAACATGTTTCAGATGAAAAAAACAAGACGAAATCCCCCCCCCAAAAAAATAACTAAATTAAATGGGGGCAAGTAATCTACCAGATGGAGAGTTCAAAACACTGGTTATACCCTGGCCAGTTTGACTCAGTGGATAGAGCATCGGCCCGTGAACAGAACGGTCTCAGGTTTGATTCTGATCAAGGTCATGAACCTTGGTTGCAGGCTAGATCCCTGGCCCTAGTTAAGGTTTGAGGCACATGCCAGAGGCCACTAAATCAATGTTTTTCTCTGTGTCTCTCTCCCTCCCTTCCACTCTCTAAAAAAATCAGTGGGAGCCCAGTTGGCATGAATCAGTGGATGAACATTGACCTATGAACCAGGAGGTTACAGTGTGATTCCTGTCAGGACACATACTCGATCCCCAGTGCAGGATGTGCAGGAGGCAGCCAATCAATGATTGGCTCTCAGCATTGATGTTTCTATCTTTTCCCCTCTCCTTTCCTCTCTGAAATAAAAAATGAAAGTACATATTAAAAAATAAATCAATGGGGAAAATACCCTTGGGTGAGGATTAACAAAAAAAGAAAAAAGAAATGAGGATAGGTTAAGAGACCTCTGGGACAACATCAGCATACCAACACTTGCATTATAGGCATACCACAGGGAGAATAGAGAACAAGGGTCTGAAAACTTATTTGAAGGTATAATGACTGGCTGGGCCAGCGTGGTTGAGCGTCAACCTATGAACCAGGATGTCATGGTCTATTCCCAATCAGGGAACATGCCCAGGTTGCAGGTGCGTTCCTCAATATGCAGCATGCAGGAAGCAACTGATCAATGATTCTCTCTCATCACTGATGTTTTTCTCTCACCTTCTTTCTCTCTGAAATCAATAAAATATATTAAAAAAAATAAAATGACTGGCAAAAAAAATAGACATTTAAGTCCAGGAAGTAAAGAATACAAAACAAAATGAACTCAGAGGCCCACACCAAACTGCATAATAATTAAAACGCCAAAGTTTAAAGACACAGAGAAAATCTTAACAGCAAGAAAAGGGTAGTTATTTATGTACACGGAAGCTCCCATAAGATTGTCAGCTGATTTCTCTCTCAACAGAAACTTTGCAGGCCAGAGGAATTGGCATGCAATTTTCAAAGTGATAAAAATCAAAGACCTACAACCAAGATTACCCAGCAAAGCTATTATTTAAAATCAAAGAGAGCCGAAACTGGTTTGGCTCAGTGGTAGAGCGTCGGTCTGCGGACTGAAAGGTCCCGGGTTCGATTCCAGTCAAGGGCATGTACCTTGGTTGCGGGCACATCTCCGGTAGGGGGTGTGCAAGAGGCAGCTAGTCAATGTTTCTCTCTCATAGACGTTTCTAGCTCTCTATCTCTCTCCCTTCTCTCCATAAAATATCAATAAAATATATTTAAAAATAAATAAATAAATAAATAATAAAATCAAAGAGAAAGATAAGAAAAAGCTAGGGTTCATTACCACTAAATCAGTATTATGAAAAAAGTTAAAGGGGCTTCTTTAAGAAGAAAAGATAGCCCTAGCTGGTCTGGCTCAATGGATAGAGCAGACTGACGGGTCCAGGTCTGGCAGTGGGCACATGCTGGGGTTGTGGGCTCGATTCCCAGTAAGGGGTGGGCAGGAGGCAGCCAATCGATTTTCTATCACTGATGTTTCCCTCTCCTTTCCTCTCTGAAATCAATAAAAATAAAAATAAGTTTTCTAGAAAAAAGATTAAAAATATGAATAAAACAATATAGGAAAGAAAAAATTTTCACTGACAAAGGCAAACACTTTATAAAAGCAGTGGACCAATTAAAAACTTAGTATAAAGGTTAAAAGACAAAAGTAGGAAGATAATGTGTAATAATAAATTAAGGGATACATACAAACACACATGAAGTAAAAAATGACAAAAAAACATAAATGGGAACAGGTGAGTGATGTTAGGATATGTTGGAACTTACGTGACTATCAACTTAAAATAGACTATGACAACCCTGGCCAGTGTGGCTCAGTTGGTTGGGTGTCATCCCATGCATCAAAAGGTTGCCGGTTCAATTCCTGGTCATGCCCCTGCCCCAGTAGCAGGCTCAGTCTGGGTAGGGGTTGTGCAGAAGGCAGTTAATTGATGTTTCATTCTCTCATGAATGTTTCTTTAAATTCTTCCTCTCTCTTCCTTCTATCTAAAAATCAATTTTAAAAATATATATATTTTATTGATTTTTTTACAGAGAGGAAGAGAGAGGAATAGAGAGTTAGAATCATCGATGAGAGAGAATCATCGATCAGCTGCCTCCTGCACACCCCCCACCGGGGATGTGCCCGCAACCAATGTACATGTTCTTGACTGGAATCGAACCGGGGACCCTTCAGTCCTCAGGCTGACGCTATATCTACTGAGCCAAACCGGTTTTGGCTAAAAATCAAATTTAAAAAAAGTCTTTTAAAAATACTGTTACAAACATAGCTTGAGGTATATATATATAGCATATGGTAGCCACAAACCAAAAGTGTACAAGAGAAAAAAATAAAGGAAACAGGAATCTGAACACAAAATTGTAGAAAGTTATTAATATACAAGAGAAGAGAGTAAAAGAATAAGAAAGAAACAGAGGAAAGAAATCATAAAAATAAAATGGCAATCTATATCTATAAAAGGCTAATATGCAAAATGTCCCTTTGGAAGTTTGACCAGGAGACCCAGAGTTCGGCTGCTCGCCAGGGGACGGCGTGGAATTAAGGAAGGTCCTCATCGCCCCGATCGCCGGCCCGGCCTAGGAACCCTACCTGTGTATGAATTTCATCCACCAGGCCTCTAGTAACTACATAGTCAGCCATTACTTTAAACGTAGATAGATTAAATGCTCCAATCAAAAGACATAACGTGGCTCTTTACAGCAGCACTGAGCCATGGGCTTTCTCAGGACAACTGGCACAAGCACAAGACCAGGGGCAAGAGAAAGCCACACCACAAGAAGCGACAATATGAGCTGGGACGCCCTGCTGCTGACAACACTGAGACTGGCCATCCCACATACACAGGTCACATGCAGGGAGGCAACAAGAAGTACATACCTTCAGGCTGAACATGGGCAACTTCTGGGCTCACAGTGTTGTACACACAAAACAGGGATTATTGATGTTGTCTACAATGCATCCAACCACACACCAGTTTGTGGTCGGCACCACAACCCTAGTAAAGAACTGCACCACGCTCACTGACAGCTCACTGTGAGGACAGTGGTATGAGTGCCTCTATGTATTGCCCCTGGTCCACAAGAAGGGGGCCAAAAGCTGACTCCTGAGGAGGAAGAGATTTTAAACAAAAAGCTATCCGAAAAAATTTAGAACGAATATGATGAAAGGAAAAAGTATGCCACAATCAGCAGTGTTCTAGAGGAGCAGCTCTAGCATGCAGCACCTGAGACCAGGCCGATGTAGTCATTTGCTTGAGGGAAAGGAGCTGGAGTTATATCCAAGGAAAATCAAGGTCCCAAAAGGCAAATAATCTTCCTCCCTACTCTCTCAGGCAATAAAGGTGAAAAAAATAAATAAGAAAAGACATAATGTGGCTGAACCGATGAAAAAACAAAAACTGTACATATGCTGTCTACAAGAGACCCATCTCAGATGGAAAGACACACACAGAATGAAAGAGACGAGAGAAAAAAGAATTCACGCAAAGCAGGTGTAGCAGCAATACTTATATCAAACAAAATTGACTTTAAAACAAAGGCTGTAACATAAGACAAAGGGCCTTTTA